CACATGTTTTCAAAAATATATTTTATAAAGTGAATTTTCTTGTTGTACATATTTAATTTCGAAAATATTTTAATTCTTTATTTAATTTTACACACGAGCTGAAAATTCTTCAGATACATATTACGAGACATGAAAACGTAATGTTTGATTTATGCGAACGACTGCTAACAATAGAGAATAAAGACTATTCTTTAATAATACCCAATAATAGAGTAGGATTATGTTTTGCATTTCTATACTCGACAAGCTTTTCTTATTTGAATAATTAAATATTTGTTTTGTATATTTTAAGAAGCATATTATTACATTATACGCGTTCAAAAAAAATGGTACGTAATTTTTTTCGAATACGTGACTCTGTCAATATTAGAAAATTATTCTCGTTTGTATGACTTCGAAAGATAAATATTACTAATTAGAAACAAAAATTTCTTTCACTCGTGTAATTTTCAATTTATTTTTGTTTTATCAAGTGAATTTCGAATAGAAGGACAAAGACTACATAGTTATAATTTTAATTTTGAAAGAAAAATTTGAAAATTTCTTGTGAGAAAATGATGAATCTGTTTCAGTAAACGGAAATAGGAGGAAGTTTAAACTATCCAGGCCCTTTAAAGAAGGCTTTATTGTCTTAGGCTCTCTTTCAAAAGAAAGGTATAACATCATCTACCACGGGGTTATTAAAATGCGGGTAGTCCTTATACAGCCCCTATCTATAGATTTCACAGACCCACATCAATGAAAATCCCAATGTGCCACTGAACATTTTTTCAGAGATTTCTTAATCAAAACATTTATTCACCAAACTATTAATTTTCAATAAATTTCAATAAAAATGAGTAAATGACAAATTGCTTTTTTTAATTGAAAAATACCCCTACATAAAAATAAATATAAAATTACAACTAATAAAGAATAAAACACGTACTGAGAGAACTGGATAGTAATATAAATATAACAACATTTAAATAATAAATACAAACTAAAATGCACTAATATGAGAACCGAAATAAGAGCTAAATAAATATTACAATAATGACCAAAAAGGCCAAAAAGTGTCTAAAATCTGAGTGAAAACCAAATCATGCCTATAAAATGTGCAAATTTTCCAACGTTGACAAAAATCAACCATGTCCTCTTCCACACATGTGGACAAATTAGCGAAATTTCAAGAGTCGTAAACTCGACTTTAACAGTGGTCTTCGACATGTGACCAAAAAAAGAAAAAAAGGTTTTGCGATAGAGACCTGAGTATTATTTAGTGTGGAGTGAAGATTTTATTGTCCCTTCGACTTTTCTCCTGTAACTATAACGGACAAAAGATCAAAGCAATATGCGTCGTTTCGGATGCATGCGCCAAAATTCGAGAAAAAGAGAATATAAACTGAAAACATCGCCTTGAATTATTACGAGCACTTTGGTCCCCGAACTGTCCTACTACTGATTCTCTCATCTTATTCTTGCAGCATCATTTCTCTCTCTCTCTCCTTCATTTCATAGTATACTCCTTCACCAGGAGCGGATTCGTCGACTCAAAACTATATATTAAAACTCGTCCTCAAATTTATGATGTCTTTTAAAGTTTTTAAAATTAAATACAAAAATCCTAATTTCAAAATGAGTTTTGAGATTATTTATTTCAAGTTTGAATTTTTAAACTTGAATTTCAAAATTTCATTTTCATAATTTGATTAATATTTTTATTTGATTTTTAAAACATAATTTTAAAATTTAGAATTAAAATTTTAATTTGCAAATTCGTTTTTTAAAATTAACTAGCTCCTCCGACGGCCGCAAGCGGCCGTCTACGGTGCTAGTTTTTATATGTCCATTGTCCAAGTCCATTATTTCATTAATAATAATATTCAAATTTTTTCAGTTAATAATTTTCTAATTTATATTTGAAATGTTGACGTTTTTTTTGACAATGCAAAATAAGATTTATTATGAGTACTTTCTTTTAACAAAAATAAAATTTATATATTCGCGCTCTTTTTAAATAACATACGACTGCAGCGCCACCTTCACATGTACAAACAATTTTAAAAACACCCTTCTATTAAGATTTTACATTCTCATTGCCCATTCTTTACTTCGATACTTTTCGATACATTCGACCTTTCCACTCCATGTCTTTTTTAAGAAAGGATTTTCAAAATAATCTCATCAGCAACAACAATTCTCCACATTTTTTTTAGAGAATATAAAAATAATTTTTCGTCAAACGTCATAAAAAAATTAGTTATAAAGTTCTTACATAATGTTCAAATTCTAAAGAAATTCTTCTTTTCTGTAACACTTGAAATCAATAAAAAAAACTTTAGTCTTTGACTTGATCTTATACAAAACTAAGGAAACAATGTCAAGTTGCATTGAAATATTGTTATATTCTCATTAATAAAATTTTGTAATAATTTTTCCAGGCTCTAATATTTGCTGAGACGAAACAAACTCGAGAGAGGGAAAGAGAGGGAAATAGAGAGAAAGAAGGGCGCAAGGTGGATTATGCTGAGAAGAAGAGTGGTTCCTTTGAATTAGTCATATTCGTTTTGTTAGTGCGTCGCTTAACAAAGGTAGATTGAATTTTTTCAACAGAATGAAGGAGACAGGGGGGAGAAAAAGATAGAAAAAGAGAGGGGCGTTTCACGTGTAAAAACCGGCTTGATGATTTTTTAAAGCGATGGCTTTGGGTTTTTAGATTTTTAGGCCTTTAAGAATCAATGCGCCCCTGGACCTCTTTCTCTTTCTCAATCTTTTTTCTCTCCCGTGGATGATGATATTCGTCCCTCTCTTTTTTCGAGTTTAGCCTCTCCAACGCCAACTCTCCCTTGGTCTCTCTCTCTCTCGCTCTCTCGCAGGCAACTCTATCCAGAGCAAAAGCCCCGCGGCGTTGCCATGCCGGGGTTTCAAGATCCAAGAAACTCTACAAAAAACCACCACAGGAAAACATCACCAATACGAACAACATCTTCCTCCTCCATCATCGTCTCTTCTTTATAGTTATACTTCTCTCATCTTTTTTTCTAATTGCAAAGACACTACATGCCATGCACTTTGTAGAACATGCGACGTTACTTCGAATCCAATATTCAAGAAGAAGAACCCTTTCTTTCCTTCTCCGAAATCATTTTTCTTCAGAGTTCATAATTCGACATAATTCGACACTGAAACATTTTCACTTTTAAAACTCAGACTCGATTCAAAATAAACCCCCGCACAAAAAACGAAATCCACCAATCACAATTTCTACGAACATTTAAAAAAATATCCACAGAAATAAAATAAAGGAAAGAAAAAATTAAGAAGTCTAATTAAAAGCTACTTGAAAAATTTTATATTTTGAAACCGGTTTTTTTTCTACAAAACTTAGAGAAAAAAAATACATTTCTAGAATAAAAACTACAATGACGATTTCAATTTCAACACAGTGTACTTGACCAATTTACTTGGAAAAAAATATGAGCGAGATGAAATTAAATTGAACTCTCCGTCTGAGCGACCCATCATATTTATCTCTCCCACAAATAAACAATTTTTTCTCACACAAAAACTAAACGAATTCAATTGCTCTGCATGAAAACTCTTTTACGACAACAACCAATTGTTATTATTGTTATTTCTTTAATATTTGAAAGTGGTACTTTTCCTTGAGCCTGGTTAAAAGCCAAAACGGCCAAAACAAAGTGAACAATCATTGACAAAGACCCGCCAAGTCATAAAGAAGCGCAAAAATTTCCATGAAATATGACTCACTTTAAAACGACTAATAATTACTGATGATATTCTAATCCTCACCCGCAGCTTGTCGGCAAAACAAAAATAAATATACAAAATCGTTTAATGCGTGGGTTTTGTCACTGGTTTTGCAATGGAAAATATCGCGAAAGACAATTGCAAAATATCGTGAAAAGAAAAAAGTACTCCCGCGCGCAAGTTAAATTGAACGTAGGTACATATATGTTTAGATTCAACGAGGTTATGTATCATGTATTATATATATATATATATATATATATATATATATATATATATATATATATATGGGATATAAATACCTGTAGCTTCACGTGAAGCGTCACGAGGCGCCAAATCTTTCTCCCAATGTTCACACCAAAAAACAGTAAAAAATCACACAAAGAACACAAACAAAACACCAAAAAATAACAAATATCACGTGGAATTCGCTTTAATGTCCACGCACATTCAAGCAGCACTGTACACGACGAATCCGTACACAATAAAGGATTACAAATTGAATATTATGGCTATGCCCGAGGTTCATGAATGAAACTGAGAACAAGTTCTGCCTTCTGCCTCCCCCGAGATTCACAACAACCGGCCAATTGCCCAGAGAGAGAACTTGTATTACACCACTAGGTTTATTCCCCTAGGACTAAAACTGACAACACCGTGTGGGTGGGGAGACAACACTGATTGGTTCAAATTCCCTTTCCAGGCAACATGAAAAAATTAAAATTTTCCACCAAATTCCTACAAAAAACAAGAAATCCAAGAAATAAAATAAACGCTAATTGTTTTTGGTAAAACTAAGAAAACAACTTATTATTCTTATTATTGTTCAATGTTTGAAAATTGTTTTTAATGTTTTTAATGAACAAATGTAAAATATAACCTCAAATTATGTGACCAAATTTCCTAATTAGATTGGACAAACAATAGAAAGTATCATGCAAAAATTTATTAATAAATAAGTTCAATTATCCTATTTTTTTTATTTATAACACAGAGATGATATCTATTAGAAAATAACGAAAATAATAGCACAAAATTAAATTTTTCTCTGGTTTAGCGACAGAGCACTTCACAGGGAATTACATGACTATAAGTATAGCGATTGGTGAACCTGAAAAATTTGAAAACACAACCTGCTTCTTTGAGTGATTAAAATATTTGCATTTTATAAAATTGCAATTTCTTTTATCCTTTTTTATTTTTCATCATGCTTGAAAAATATTTCGTGTTTGTTTATTTTTAAATACTAATGTGTTTCAGTTGGTGAATATAATTTTTATTTGAATCATGTTGTCATTGTCGGAGTCGGCCATATTCATTTTGTAGCAGCTGATTTGTCACAGTGATTTTCTACAGAAATAAATCAGAAAAATAAAAAGTAAGTTTTTCAAAGAAACTCGTTATTAATTTAGTAATACCAACTTTTACTAAGCTATCCTTTTCTATTTTTGTCAATTTACAAGTAATATTTTTCGATTCTCTCATTGTACATGAGTATTTAATATAGTATTTAACTTTTCATAACCTAAAAATGTTTTCCAAATATTATATAATGTATAGAAAGAATATTTATTTTCGACTAATTTAAAAATCAATAAATGAATTTATTGGAAATCAACTACTTATTTATTCAAATAATTTATATGTTTATTGGAATATAAAACTAATTTTCGATTTCAGATTTTAAAATGCTGTCCCGAAGAATTACTGTGTCAATTCCAAAAATTGTAAAGAGAAATATCGGAATTACTGCACCTGCTTTACAAGCAGCAAGCGATCCTATTCAAAAATTGTTTGTTGACAAAATTAGAGAATACAAATCAAAGAGTTCGTAAGTTATTTAAAATTATCCTGTAAATTTTTATTTTTTTATAGAAAAGAATATTTGAGTTTATTTTCAATATTCAACTAATATTTCTTCAACTCCTTTTTTTAAATAAAGGGGTGGTAAATTAGTTGATCCTTCGCCAGAAATTGAGCGAGAAAGGAAACAAGAATTAGAAAAAATTGCTAAACAATACGGAGGAGATGGACAAACTGATATGACACAATTCCCTCAATTCAAATTCACAGGTTTGTTACTTTCATTTCATTTTTAATTAGGTAAACAAAATTTATTATCTATTTCATTTCAAAACTTTGTAAAAAGTGATTTTTTATAAATGAATAAATGGTTGTAAACATAAAAAAATTATCAGTAATATTAATTAAGAAAATTTTACAATAATATATGTAATATTGTGACTGCACTTTTCGTTTTGTCAGCAAGAACTTTAAGTTCAAGTTATTAAATTATTCTTTGATAGTTTGTTAATTAAAAATTAAATTTGAAAAATAAGGTTTACCAGATTTTGACAGTTTTTATATTTTTTACACGAAACCCGTAAAAAAGTTTTAAATTTAATAAAAATAAATCGAATTTGGTAAAATTAAAAAAACTGCAAATAAAAAGTAGAATAATTCTTGTTTTTTGATATTACAGAACCCAAAGTAAATGTTGGAACCGCAGAAAAGTAAACCATAGGAGGAATGCCATTAAGGAAGTAGAGAATGAAAAAAATTGGAATCCTTTAGATTCAAATGGATTCGCAAAAAATCAGTGATTGTTTTGCATATGTGTACAGGAACTTTTTTTCAATTATTTAATTAAAAACCCGACTCTCTTTGTTCAACCTAATTGTAATTTCAATTAATAGTTGTCATGATCATTTTCCTGCCTTAAATAGAATAAAATATGAAGAAATTTAAGAAAATGTTGAAATTTATTATTTTAACTTACACGTAGAAAAATATTTACAGTTCACAGAACTGACATCATTATTTTTTAATTTTTCTTAAAAAATTTTTTTATCTATTTTTTAGTCCATTGGTTCAATGATTTCGATGAGGTTTGTATTTTCCAAAGCTTCTAGTAAAATTTCCATTTGACATTTAACAGCAACTGTTTTATGAATCATTGCAAAAACTTTCATTTCTTTTTTGGTAATTAATGTCTTAAAATTACCACCGCATTGGCATAATTCTTTAATATTGTCCTTTTTCACTTCGAGACAGCGACGACATTGTAAATCTTGAAGAATATAAGCCATTGTTTTTCGATTTAAAAGATCCAATAGTGCCATTTCAATTTCATCATTTTCATAACTCATCTCACAAACTGGACATTTCCACACCTGTCTAAATATAAAAAAAATTTCAAATTAAATTTTATTTTTAACTATTTTGTTTTTATTCGGATATGATAATTTAGATTACTGAATCAAAAATAAATGTTGTTTATGTTCTGATTCTTATAACAAAATCAAAATTCCACTTTGTTTAGTTTTGATTCCAATATCAGAATGAAAAGTCTTTCCTTTTTAATTATGATATAAATATCTGAATCAAAATAAAAACTTTAGATATTTTAATATCGAGGGAAATAATGTTTTATGTATTGATGTCATGTTATATACACTATAAATTTGCGCAGTAACGTTTGATGTACATTTTAAATGCGTAAAATTTGTTGCGCATATCAAATATATCAGAAGATAATATCGTTTTGAGATTTGATTCAATGCCAAATCAGAAGTAGAAATTCGAATCGAATTCTGTTTCCATAAGAAAACCGAATGTAATTTGAAGTAGACTTTTGTTTCGTTACTGTATCAGAATCAAAATAGAAAGTGACTTTTGTTTCTATATCAGCAAACAAAACTAAAGTGGAATGGACTTTTGTTTCGTTACCAAATCAAAATCAAAATACATTAATAATTTCGTTTTGTTATAACATATAACGAAATCAAAATTCGATTTCCGTGAAGGTCCCTGTTTAGAAGCCATCGAAGTGACCTAAATGTTTAGTAATATTTCCATAGTGAATTAAAAATAATTTTCTTTTTTCAGTACTTACCTGTTATTTTCGAAGGCACGATAGTTGTCTCGTGAAAGATCAATGTCTCTGGTATGGTTACAACCCTGACAAATTACTTCCGGCAATGTGAAGGAAACGGAAGGATCTCTCCATTCAGCCTCATCACTATATACACTAACATTAACTAATCTCAATAAATTTTCTTTCAGATTGTTAATTTCTTCCGTGACTTCTTTGTCCAGTGATAAAACCTAAAAAAAATTATTAATTTATATATCATTAAATTAAATTATAAAAATCCAATTTAACTTTAAATTTTTGTTTTTAATAATTGCTTTTTTTAATTCATTTATTGATTAAATAATTATGAACTTAAAAATTTAGAACTATTTTTATTTTCAATATAGATTTTCAATTATTGGATTAAAATATAAAATTACAAAAAAGAAAAGTTTCTGATTAAAGTCATTTCCATTGACTTAAATAAAAAAATTGTAAAAAATTTTATTCTTTACGATAAAAAAATATATTTACTTGACAAACTGCTTTTGTTACTTCAACTGCGGGTTTGACTATTCGTTTTCCAGAAACTATTGTACCTAAATGAGGACTTTCCTCCGATTTTAATACTTTCTCGGGCAATTTTTTGTGTATTTTCTGAATGAGTCTGTAAAACAAATGATTAGTTTGTAAACATTTAACTAACAAGTAAAACTACCCAAGTGTCAGACGCCGAATTTATTGAAACTTTTCATACGTCAAGAGGGATAAAAAATAAGATATACGTGTTTTTTTTATATCGGCGGTAACTGACTTTAAAGGGTAGAAACTACCCTTTTAATTTTAAGGGATGTAAATATTCAATAGTTATCTTAAAATTGCTTAAATTCGATGGAAACTGGTTACTCGGGGGTTTTTGGGGTCGCTGATTACGAATTCGATGTCAGTTTTTCAAAATTCAAAATGGCGGTTCCAAAATGGCGGACGAGATTTCTGAAAATTGCTTAAATTCGCTGAAAACTGGTTACTCGGGAACCGCCATTTTGAATTTTGAAAAACTGACATCGAATTCGTAATCAGCGACCCCAAAAACCCCCGAGTAACCAGTTTCCATCGAATTTAAGCAATTTTAAGATAACTATTGAATTTACATCCCTTAAAATTAAAAGGGTAGTTTCTACCCTTTAAAGTCAGTTACCGCCGATATAAAAAAACACGTATATCTTATTTTTTATCCCTCTTGACGTATGAAAAGTTTCAATAAATTCGGCGTCTGAAACTTGGGTAGTTTTACTTGTAAGTGATGTGTAATATTAAAGAAACTATAGAAATCTATTAACTGAAAGAGTTTCTGCGACATTTCGCCAGTGATTAAAGTTTTAGCAAATTGTGCAGTGTTTTCTAAATTCGCCAAACCAAGACGTTGCGTGAAACTTTGACTGGAAACACTTTGGCTTCTTTGTCTTGGACGTGGAGTCGAGTTTCCTGGTTCGTTGTCATTCATGTGCTGATAAATTGCATTTATATAACCCGCAATAATATTGCTGAAAACTGTTTGACAAGCCGCTTCTTTTGGTAAATATTCCATTAAGTTCCAATTCATTATTATTTCCGGCTAGATATTTAAAAATAAAATGTCCAGTTATTATCTAGATGTATATTATAAAAAAGTATTTATTGTTTAAATGTTTTTTTTAAATTTGTTAAAAAATTAAAAATTACCTACTTCTATCAAAAATTAAAATTTTAGATTTTTAAAAAATTTTACTTAATTAGAAAGCAAAAATGTGTTCTTGAATTAAAGTAATATAGGGTAATGTCAAATTGAGTGGACCGCCTGAGCTTTTAAGTTATCTGACAGTGGTAACGTGAAATAAATAAAACGAATAGCAGCACCGCACCTAGAAACCGTAAGAAATTATGTTCCGCGATAATCATATACGTTATTGTTTAATGTAACGCATTTTTAAGAACACAAACCAAAAAAGAAGTCGCTCTTACAATGAGTAAAGTGATTCGGAAGTGTAAAAGTAGTGTAAAATTTAAGTTTTAAAAGGTAACTTATTTTTTTCCTACTACTTTGGACATTGAAATTGATTGTCTTAGTTTAATTAAGTGATAATTTTGACACAAAAAAAATTTTTTGTGTCTGCCATAAAAAGTTGCATGTCACCATGACACCAGGACCACTGTTTATAACCATGAGTGGACTGCTTGTTTTTTTCATTTTTAATATCAGTTTACCATTTTTATGGAAATAAATTAACAATAAATTGGTTTGAAACTATGTTTTATGTTCTTTATTAATTTTTTTATGATTTTGATGTGATATGTGCCAAAATTATTAAAAATGGTTTCACTTGTAAACATTGCGACACAATCATGGTCTGAAGCTGCATAAGCATAAATTTTGTTTCAATATATCAGAAATATTAAATACATTACAGAATTTAGAATACATTTTACAATTTTTTAGGAGTGGTCCACTCAAGGTTACACTTTTTTCATTTCTTAAAAATTAGCTAAAGCTTGGAATAGAAACCTCCGATTAATTTGCTTTCATAAAGAATTTTTTAGAAAAAAAGCTTAGGCGGTCCACTCAAAGTGACATTACCCTACTTGTTATCTTTAAATTCATTTAAGGGGTATATTTGAAAATATACTTTGAAATTTTCAAAAAATTGAAAAAAATTTTTTTTGCTTAAAATACTCTTTGCGGACACCAAAATGATATGTCATTAGTTATATATCGATATCTTAAGTAAAAAGACAATTTTCGAACTGTTCAAGCAGGGTCGCGCGCTAACGTTTACATTGTAATGAAAACTTTAAACTCGTTTTTCTCAAAACTGTATTTTAAAAATCGGTGGACACTCTAGCTGCCACAATTTTCAATCGATTCTCTTAATTCTTTTTTTATTTTGTTTGTGATATAATTATCTAGCGAAATACGTACGGATTTTTCGAAATATTAATATTTAAATTTTCTAGACAACTTTAAATTATGAAATTTAGGCAAAAATACGGACTTTTTCCTTCAAATCGATGCCATTTTGCGAAAAATAAATTTTTTTTAAAACGGATACGTATTTCGCTAGATTTTGAGCTACAGAAAATAAAGCATTTTTACTTTTTGGTCTAGCTTAATTCTGGACCGAGTTATAGTGTCCACCGTATGGCAATACATTTTTAAAGCACTTTAAGATATCATCTGTCAAACCGACAATTTAAAAAAAAAAATAAATTTATATATATTTTTTTGTAGTTCAAGAGTAGTACAATACCCTACTGTAATTTAATTTTCCTAAAAAAATTTCTATTCTTCAATAAAAATTGTTGAAAAAGCTTATGTTTTGAACAGGTCAAAGTGGTGTAACCCCTTAATTCGTTAGCTTGTTATGAAATTTAATTTTCTTACCCCTTCTTCACTTTCTTCCTCTTCATCATCCACGTTTTGTTCGGCTTGACTTTCTTCCATAACTGACTTTGGTACTTTGCCTCGAACACCACCATGATTCGTCTGCAAATTACATTTTTTTGATTAAGAAAACTGAAAAAGGACAAATTTAATTCGTAAATTGATTTTAATTTTCCTAAATAATTATTATTTAATTTTAACTAATTTTAATTGAATTGATATTTAATTAAGTTAAATAATTATCTCACCAAATCCAGCCATATCAAATATTCCCAACATTTTTCAAAACGAATATCAATACTGTGAAACAATTCCTTTCGTCGAATGGATTGATCAATATATTCGACATATCCTAATGCATCGAGAACGCTCCTTTTCTTCGTGCAAAGAATAATTTTATTAAAATTAGCAAAAACAATAACAGAGCCGAGTCTCTGAAATTCGGCGATTAATTGAAGGAATAACTTTTTCATGTAACTATGAAGTGTTCGACGTAGTGCAGGATCGTAAAGTAAAGACTGTGGTGAACGAAGCCAGCGATAAAAATGAATTATCTGATAATCAGCGAACATATTCTTGTAAATAGTCACATCTCTCAGCCAGGCGTTCACCATATTTCGCAACACTTTAAAAGCCGCACTGCACAATGCTGTCTCATCGTAACTTGGAATTCCTAATGTTGACGATTCACCGGCAATCATTTCCTGCAGTGTTGCTTGTGGTGCACTATGAAATGCAACAAATGAACTGGTTCCATCAACATCGTTTACGTGATGAGCCTGAAGTAATGTATTCACCGCTAAACTGTCAATTTCCAGTTCAACGCAAATGCTCGAGTAAGTGCCAGTTTTGTTGATTTCGCAACTCGAACTGTCTTCAAAATCCGTAAGCAATCTGTTTATTAAAATTAAATTAAAATTATATTAATGCAGGGTAATTCATAGAATTGTGAATTACTCAAATAAATTCTAGTTCATAATTATCATCTCCAATCAGGTTCGCTATATAATTCAGTGAACTAGAAAATCTGTCATACAAAAATTCTATTAAATAAATAAATCTTTACTTAAATAAAAACTCTGCAATATAAAGTTCCATTGACTGAACATTTTTAAAAAAAATTACAAGTTTTTTAAAAATTGAAACCTTTAGTATCATTTCTATTATTTTTCATTCCCACTGTAAAGTTTTATCCTAGTAGAAATAACTAAAAACTTGTATGTTTTGCATATGATTATTAAAATTTGGAACATATATATATATATATAATTTAGTATTTTTTGTTATCTAAAGAGAAAAAAGAAGGGTGCGGTGCTAACTTTTTGGGACTTTTAGCTATTTTTTGATTTTTTCCCATGAAAAATTATATTGATTATAGTTAAAAGAAAGAAGAAATTAAATTAAATGAATTACTATTAATATAAAAATAATGAAATTAATAAAAAATATAATATAATAATTTTGATCTCACCGATTATCGTCATTTTCACTGCCCCCAAAATCCGGTTTTTCAGTTGGCGAACACCAAAGAACAAAATTATTCTTCTGCAAGTGTCGCGCATAAAATAAATCGGCACCAAATAGTGTCGCATCCATTGGAATATTTCCAACTGGTGCGTGGAAGTATCTACACTGTTCTAACATTAAATGCAAAGTTTTTTCACATTCCAAATAATGTCGTATCATCGCCTTAGCACCAACTTTCTGCCACTCTAAAGTACTGTACAAGTTTTCAACATCCGCAATATGAGTCTTAATGAATGGAAATTCATTTATCATCGGCATTTGATTTGATAGATGCGAAACTTCCATTGCCGTCTGTAGAACCAAAATTGTTGCTCCCTTCATTTCATTTTTATAATTTTTCAAAGCTGTTTGTATGGCTTTGTAAATTTTCACTGCGTCCGTTTCGACTTTCACTTCGAAATGTAAATTTTCCGGTGTATTTTTAAAATTTTCCTCCAATTGTTTTTCATTAGCGAGATTCCTCTCAGCGGTGTATAACGAGCCCATGTTTGGCATCTGACTAGTTTTGGCCGAATTTAGAACGAATATGTGACAACGTTTACTGGGAGTTAGAAATAATCCCCAAATTGCTCGCTGATGATTCGATGACCAGTGATGGTAGAGGAAAATGTATTTCAAGGCTCCTGTTTGTTCCAAATACGGTTGGTAACCAACACTCTTGAAGGTTAGTTGTTCGAGTTCGAAAGTATCGGAACCGTCGGCAATCGTTGCACTCATTTGCCGATCAACAGTGCAAACACAACCCAGTTGCAGAATTGCTCTGAATTCGAGTGTCATTTGTGATTCGTAAATTCCCTCGACGTCTGGTGTCATCAACTCTTTCAGTAATCCCTCCTTATGGTCACGAAATTTCGATTCAGGGACACTGTACTTGAAGAGATTGTAGACGGTGCGACCTCGTGGTAAGATTTTTGTGCACTTTCGCCAATTTTGCTGTTCAGTTGGATCGGGCCGAGGGTTGCGACTGTTCATGTAGAAAATCCTTGGTACGATGAGACGTAATTGATGTAATTCTTGATCGACGAGTGCCCAGAGACGAAATAAGCCTGGCTCATTTGTCTCAATTATCTGTATTATTTGCCAGGGTGTAATGAGTAATTTTTGTTGTGCTCGACGTAAAAATCCACCTAAAGTGCTACTGGTTGGATTTCTTAAAACTGAGCGATTCACATGATCAAAATTATTGTCTACTTGTTTCTTTGTTCTCTTTGCGCCGGGTTCGCGGCCTTTTTGTTTCAATTGATAGACCCATTTTCGCTTATGAAATTCAATCCAAGCGATGAGCTCTTTTCTTGTTGTTCCCATTGAAGGTGGATTGCCTAAAACTTGTTGCCATGATTTTGTCATTGTTTCATTTTCATCCTCTGATGATGATACTGCCCGTTTACGCTTCGAAACGGCGGATGTTACCGGAACTTTAAAAATGGATGATTGTCTCGTCCCAATGTCTTCAATGTCAATTTCACTATCTGCTTCCATTGTTGAATCAAGATTTTCAACTTCTTTGGGGACAACTTTGAAAATTTCGTTTATTTTCATTTGGGATTTTGCTTTATTTTTCTCTGAAACTTTTTTATGTAACCAATCGGGATGCTTGACTCTTGGCACTGGATTCGAAAGCTGCAAAAAATATAATTTAATAGTAAATATTAGTTAAATTCTCCGAAATTGTAGAGAAAAAATGACTTACCCCTTGCATCGCTGCGGGGATGGTGATGATTTTTTGAATAGCACTTCCAAGTCTCTCAATATAGTAACCCCAATCCAAAATTTCCCGAATATTTGGCTCTTGAATACTTGGATCTTTCAGCCATTTTCTGAGATAATGTCTAGTAACGCTTGGCTCTGATTGGAAAATAGCTAAAGGTATAGCTCTAAAAAAATGTTTTTAAATTGGGTTCAAATTATTTTTCTAAAATCAATGGATGTAATAAGATAATTAATTTAATTTAATTTAATTTACTTTATTTAGTTATCAACTACCTTTCAGTGACTGGAGATCCTTCAGGCTTTCTTGAAATTATATATTTACATGCTAATCCCGCATCTTTTACCATTTGATCTCCTAAAAATTCCGCGAGTCGCTTGGCAGTGGAAATCGACGTTGATTTTTGATTTCCATAATCCTCAAGTGTTCTCGACATTGACTTATTTTCGGAAATCAATTCAAACAATTCCGAATCCGGAAGATTTGCTCCCTGAAAAATACATTCTTTTAAATAATAAAACAATAGATGCGAAAAACAATAATTTACATAAAAATTATGAAGGCTTATTTACTTATTTAGAATTAAACTTACTTTGCTGAAGAGTATATCGAGCCAATAATCCGCAACTTTTGCAACTGAAGCGTAGCACTGTTCAAGCGTTTCGCCTTTTAAAAACGATTCAAAAACGGATGACTGAAAAATTTTAATAAGCTGAAGTTCACCACGTCGTTTAATCTCGAAACCCTTTAATTCGGCAAGTGAACCATCAAAATTAAAAACGGCATATCTTTTCTTCAATTTCTTTCCCTCTTCCTTCGAAGCAGGCAATACCATTGCCAAATACGGTCCATCAACTTCAAAAAATATTGAATTCTCATTACGAACGTTATACGTTAAATTCTGCTTATCAACAAGATCATGATACACATTGTTCGTGAATTCGTCTTTAACCATGAAATTAAGCACAGCATTCGGATAAGAAATGGTAATTTTTGATTTTTTCGGATGTGTCGTCTGTATGACAACATTGTCGGGAAATGAGGCTGGTAAAATGCACCAAATTCCATCGGTGTCAAGTTCAAGTGGTCGGCCAACTTGTTCGACAATTTCACGAGCTTTCATAATAATATGCGCTCCCGTGTAACAAACAATGCCTCCCATTTCCATGCTGAACCATCGCGATCTGTGAATAATAATAATAATTATATTTCTTTGAGACGATTAAAGTTTAGAAATTAATTTTTCAAGAATGCAGTACCCGCGTCGCATGACGTATCCATAGAAAGAGTTCAGAATACATTTGTGAGCGAGCTGAAGGGAATCGTAGAGGACTTCTCTTCCTTTCGCCAATTTAATTTCAGCAGCGTCACCACTTGCAATGGCAGCGGAAACCTGCTGTTTCGCCACTTTTGTCATGCCTTTATATTCGTATCGTCTGTCCCTAAAAGCACGAACAGTATCGACGTAAAATGAATTCTCCCTCTGACAAATTGTTTGAGTTCTCTCCTCAGTTCGCGTTATTTTCACTTTTCTATAAGCTTTGCGACAAAATTCCGTCAATCTTTTTTTCTCATATTGCGCCTGATCTTGTTTCGAGAGCTGATGAAATGCTCTCTTTGGTCCACCGGGATACAGCGATGGAAATTTCTCTATTTCCAATTGTTGTTGTATTCGTTGATATTCGCCCAAACTTGCTGGCACTGCAAGTAAAAGAATATTAAATGTAACGTAAAAATAAAAATGTATAACAAAATAAAGAAGAAAAAGAAGAAAATTACTGACTGGTTTCGCCTCTCCACATCCACTTCATGTCTCGTTGACAAAGAGCGCCCGGTTTATTGTAATCGCAAGCAGCGCAAACAGTTTCGTTCACCATTGCCGAAGGTTGCAAACGATTCGTGAGAATAATATTCGGATACATTGCGCCAACGTCCAAATGATAAATCACAGGTTTTTCCATTCTAAACGGTTGATCTTTCAGTGCTTTAAGTTTTGTCTTTATCTCATCTAAAACTTGCTCAAAATTCGTAACCATGTCGAGTGGTATTTTTTCCTCCTCTTCAATTGCATGTTTCATTGCACCCTCAACGCCGCTTATCAATTTTTCGACGGCACTCGGTACAATTTTAAATTTGTATGGAATGTCGGCTCGAAAAACGCCCGATTCCAAAGCCTCCACATGACCGCCAACGTACGTCTCTTGATCCAATACGTGACCATCGGCAGTTAATTTATTGAACTCTGCTTCCTGTTTATTTGGATAGACAATATTTGCGTGATATGCCTCAACCATTAAAAGTGTTTCGCACAATGTTCCAGAACCTTTACGTAAAACTTCGTCAGGCTCCATGGGAATAATTGTAGACAGAGCGAAAATAAACGGATGCACATATTTTTGATAGAGATAGAATGTGGCGACTGCATCAGACACTGAATAACTTGCCAACACTGTTGGCTCCTCGGAGGCGAGTCGACACATTTCTTCGGGATCCAATTCAACTGGATCATAACGTAGCTTTGCCTTTGCAACGGCCTTTAAATTCTGCGAGCCCACTGGTAAATACGAGTCACGCTTTACCCAACTGGAAGTAGATTGGAATTATTTTCAAATTGTTAAATTATTCTCAAAAATAGGTAAAATTTTTTAATTCAAAAAATTTAAAAACTAAAAGCACCATATATAATATGGTTCAGAAGGGGAAAATAAAAATAAATAACAACTTGTAATTGTAATTGTCTAATTAAGTCAACTAAATACCATAAACAATCCATGTGCATTGCAGGTCTACTGACATAAACACCTTCTTTGTTTTTTGAGAATCCGATTCTCTCTTTCATGTCCATCCCGTGAATTGCAGCTCTTGTTTCAACGAATGGCCAATCGAAAAAGTCACCATTATACGATACAAATATGTGTGGTTTTACATCATTAATATGATCGAAGAACTTTTTAATTAAAGCTTTTTCATTTGGTTCATTGAAGACCGTGAAAACGCCTTCGAATTCTGGTTTTGGTGTGTATTCAAAATCTTCAATATCAGAAGAAATTATTTCCCTGTTTGTTATCAAGTAACCCTAAAAAAAATTCCTAACGTTATTGAATTGTATATTTATTAACTTCAAAGATTAAATAATCTTACGTTATTCATATTATATTATCTATTAATTTAATTATACATTATAGTTTGAAGTATAAATTAATAGTACTCATAAAAATATACATTAATAATCAGGGTGGTTACAAGATTCAATTTTGCAATTTCCCTGATAATTTACTGACATTAAAATGATTTTCCCTGACAAAATTCTTTTTACAGGAAAAATTGCCAATTTAATAGGATATATTTGATAACTTTTAGAGTTTATTCTGCTTTGCTTTGGTCTAAAGTTCATTTTCATAAATAAGTCTCAATTTCCTTAAGGGGGTCACATAATTGAAAAAGGTCAAGTCGTTTCTTTTTTATACAACAAGATAGACAGAAAAAATCATGTTTTTTTGAAAAAAAAATTCAAAACCGCGTAAAAATTCAATTTTTAATATTTTCAAATAATCCTAGTTAGATTGAAATGAAATTTCATTTGTTTATTTTAGATCAGTCAGTGTTATAATTTGGAATCATTAAAATATTTTTACTTGCAAAAATTTGAATTTGTTGTTCAAATGATATTGAATAATCCTAGAAAAACTCTTAAAAAACGACCAAATATATGGGCAATTCCACGTGAGATTTAAGTCGACCTCTTAAAATCGGACAAAAATATTTTTTTTCTATTCTGTATCTAAAAAAACAGATACGTATTTTTTATTTTTGTTTAATTGTCCAAATTTTCAAGTTACGAATTTTCGAAATTTTGGACTTTTAATTGTAGACCTATATTCAGTAGCTTATAAGTCCGAGAATATTGAGTTTGGGAAAAAGTTGTCAAAGAATGAAAGTTTTAGTTTTCTTTCGACTTTTAAGAAATGTAAACAAAAAATTTTTTTTTATAAACAAATTAATTTTTTTTAACTTTGGGCCGGATTTTTTTTTAATTTTTTTAAATTTATTTATATCTTATAGTATAGAGAAGATTTTCCATATAGTCCCGAAATGGGCCTGATGTGTTAAATGAGTTTTAAAACATTTTCAAAAATCACTTGCAAGAATCACAGTGGGATTTTTTAACAATTAACTTTTTAAAAATGTCTACAGCGTAGACCCTTTAATTTAAAACAACGAACACTCAAATAGATTAATAATTATACGCTGTAGACAGTTTTAAAAAGTTAATTGTAAAAAAATCCTACGGTAATGCTTGCAAGTGATTTTTGAAAATGTTTTAAAACTCATTTAACACATCAGGCCCATTTCGGAACTTTTTGGAAAATCTTCTATATATATTATAAGGTATAAATAAATTTAAAAAAAATTAAAAAAAAAATCCGGCCCAAAGTTAAAAACAATTAATTTCTTTATAAAAAAAAAATTTTTTTAATAAAAAATTAAAAAAAATTTTTGTTTACATTTCTTAAAAGTCGAAAGAAAACTAAAACTTTCATTCTTTGACAACTTTTTCCCAAACTCAATATTTTCGGACTTATAAGCTACTAAATATAGGTCTACAATTAAAAGACCAAAACTTTGAAAATTCATAACTCGAAAATTTGGACAATTAAACTAAAATAAAAAAATACGTAGAGTAGAACGGGGTGAAAAAGCCATTTAACTTTTATTTAAAAACTGTTAAACCGATTTATCAGCGATTTAGATTATACATAAATACTATTAGGTAATACGCAACTTTTGATTCTAGTTTGGGTGTTGTACCTATAGTAATATAGTTTTTATTGTAAATAAAAAATATTTCCGTCAAGAATATTCAAGCTTAATAACTAAACTTTCAATACCAATTGGAAATTTAAGAAAAAAAATTTTAAATTCAGATTTTATAGCGTAAAATGTAAAAATGTGGCTTTTTTACCCCGTTCTACTCTATCTGTTTTTTTTCGTTACAGAATAGAAAAAAAATATTTTTGGCCGATTTTAAGAGATCGACTTAAATCTCACGTGGAATTGCCCATATGTATCAATTAAATACGGTGATGAAATGTGAAAATACACCTGTCCGTCAATCATGTAAGAAATCATCATAATTTGATCGCTGTTCGCGTCTGGAAATTTTAATGGTAATTTTGTTGTCTCAATATCGTAGGCAAGGACAATTGGCTCGGGTCTTTCGACAATGTCGTCTCTCCTTGTAATTATCGGAGGATTTTGTGTGCCACAAGTTTTTATCGAGTACCAGGCGCCAACGAAAATTTTTAAATCAATTGATACCCGAACGTGATGAGGTACATCGTGTTCTCTGCGAAAAAAATATTCGTTTCAACTATTCTGTTAAGGCAATTTGCTTATACATGATAAATATAAAAGTACTTAAAATAACATGAAATTTTACATTCAATTGTTTACCTAATGTCAAGAATATTATCCATGTGATCGACCATTTTTTTTGTCTCATGAACATTGTTGGGATTTAATGTTTTCGTCATCAACTGATCATAATATGTGTTATTCTTCTCGCGCTCTTTATTAAGTCTCACTGCACTCATTATTTCTCTTTTCACTTTCATTAAATTTACCAAATTTGAGAATTTTAATTTCAAATACCTTTGTTTCAATCCGATCAAATGATTCGGCTGAAAGTTATAAACAATATTAAAATTAATAAATATTCAATAATAATAATAATAATATACATAATAAATTGAATTAAAATTACCAAATCGAGATCTTCTTTAGTAACTAATTCAATTTTCAAAATGAATCCAGAGTATTTTTTGAATAAATATGTCGAGACTTCCTGAATAGTGTCTTTTCGGCACAAGACATAAAAATATGGGTGATAAGGTAGGGAAACTTTAAAACGAGTAAAGTCTTCTTCAATAAAATAATAATCAACGCCACTAACAAGTTGTTTATCATCTTCAACAATGTCCGTCTAAAACCAAAATATATCTTTCATTAACGTAAACATAGTAAAAATACAGAGTTTTGTCAATATTAGGCAAATTTTATTACCGCGTGCATATTTAATAAAAATCCTATTCTTTCTTTAACGTCCGTTACTCTGTGGAACCCATATAAGGCATCAATTTTAATATTTTCGTTTACTTGGTTCAGTCTTGCCTCTGCAGTATTTTCTCTGTAAATCATTTTTTTAAATGCTCAAAAATCCAAACATTAATTCATTTTTTAAAAGTTTTAAGTACATATAATGAAAAATACAACTGTAAAGTATATAAATAAAGGTATAATACAATGTATTTTGAGGTTAAGTTGAGTTCATAAAAATGTTAGATTATATACAAAGTATTATAAAGATATCAAGTATTATTCAACATTCTCTTGTAAAAAGTTAATAGTAATCTTGTTTTGAACACACCAAATAAAATAAAAACTGCACAATATAAAAGTAAAAATGTTAACCTGGGGACATTTTCTCCTGGACCATTTTTCCTCCTCCATGCATTGTCACTTCTATCCGCACGATATCGTCCAGTATTGACAGACATTTTGAGAAAACGATTTTATACAGAGAAATAAAATTTCACACTTTCAATTACACTAAGTATACTAAATAATATCAGTTAAAATTGGGGAACATGACTTTTTCAGTCTGTCACATTTCGCCATTACCGCCATTACTGTTTTCCCGGTTTTCGCGCTTAAAGGCCAACGCAGAATAGATCTGTAACCGAAACCGCAATCGTAACCGTAAGCGTAAGAATGAGTTAGAGAAGGATAAACAATATACCTATCCTTCTTTAACTCATTCTTACGGTTACGCTTACGATTGCGGTCCGGTTACAGATCTATTCTGCGTTGGCCTTAAAAGTGTATTTAAATCACGTGACCGTATCATCAGCGCCATTGTGATGTGACGAGCGAATATTATCTCGCTCGAACATTCTCGATATATCGAATTGCGATATAAAAGCGCTAAATTTTAATAGTTTATAAATAAATATAAACAATTTGGTAATTCTAAATAATATTTCCCACGGGTTAAAGCGAAAATCTCTGAGATGAAAACAGGAAATTCTTTGTTAGAAGAATTGTCACACTTAAATAAATTCCAAACTTGTTGTGTTTATATATTACGAACGAAAAACATTTCTTAGAAATGTCGTAAATCTAGTAAAGTTAAAATAGAAATTGGATATTGAGTTTCTTCGGTCATAAAACCTAATCCTTCGAAGTAATGTAAAAAACATCTCAAGTGCCGTTTTCTAAAGGACAATGGAACATGTGTTCAACACATTTGTGACTGCAGGGATTGCAGTGGAATTTTAGAGAATACGAAATGTATAAAGAATCTGCGTTATAATTAATATTGATTAATTATATTATTAATAATTATTGTTATTAATTATTATTATTTAGAATACAGTATGTTATATGTTGTGAGATGATACTTCTTAAATGTGTGCACTGAAAGAAATTCTTAGTAGATTTGACTACTTTTTAACTACTTCCCACATAGCACAACTTTTCACTGTAAGGTTACCTGAGACGACATCTGTAGGGCTTGTAAGGTTATCAAGTAAGAGTGTGGTAAACACGATGAAGTCTAAAAACTTCCGCCTTACTGTAGCCTTACACATGAAAGTCACTGTAAGCTTACACAGTAAAGTCACTGTAAGCTTACACGGTAAGGTCATTGTAAGCTTACACAGTAAAGTTACCCTGCAGGGTAACTTTACTGTGTAAGCTTACAATGACCTTACCGTGTAAGCTTACAGTGACTTTACTGTGTAAGCTTACAGTGACTTTCATGTGTAAGGCTACAGTAAGGCGGAAGTTTTTAGACTTCATCGTGTTTACCACACTCTTAAGCTGCGGTTACACCTCTGCAGGCTGCCTGCCTGCGCAGGCAGGAGCAACGAGAGTAAGGGAGAAGTTTGAAGTCACTGACTCTCTTACTCTTGTACGTTACCATGACAACCTGCAGGCAGGCAGGCTGCCTGCAGAGGTGTAACCGCAGCCTTACTTGATAACCTTACAAGCCCTACAGATGTCGTCTCAGGTAACCTTACAGTGAAAAGTTGTGCTATGTGGGAATGGAGACTTACTCAACATTGCTCTGCCCTTTTCTGACTTCTAAACATGTCCAAAAATTGAACTAACTAAAACTTGTGATGAATTTTTTAAAACTGTTGGCGAAATCAAAGACATACTATACATGAAAAACTTCTATCAGATCCGAAGCAAACCCTGGTTCCATACATTTATTTCACGCAGAGAATGGATAACCTCTATAGGCAGAATGAGGAGTAACCATTACTCCTTAAACGCAAGCATGTACAGGAAGAACCTTGTAAGTTCTCCAGGATGTTCTTGTAACCCGAATGTGATACAAGATATAGATCATATCCTCTGGGCTTGTCCTAAATTTGATTTATATCGGAAACCACTACTAAAATCATTCTCCAAAGCTCTAAATTGCCCTCCTCCATTTCGCAGTATTCAGTTTTTAAGCAATCCAACACTCAGACTAGTATCACCTATATTTAGATTCTTAAAACTTTGTAATATAAAAGTCTAACTTTTATATGCTTCTACCAGGTATCATTTCAATTTTTTTTTTTTTTTTTTTTAATTAATTAATTATTGTTATTAATTATTATTTTTTTATTTTTTTTTATTAAAATTCTCTCCATGCGTTCACGAGTCTGTTCGATTGGTGCGGTGTCGTTCTCTCTCTCTCTCTTCAACTACGGTTGGAGAGAGAGGGAGATTGTGCGCAGCTTTATCTCCGAGTACGGTGTGGACTCGGTGGAGAGGCGGCTTGTTGTTTCAGATAGATCATGGCTGTATGTACAAGGCTTTAGTCCACAGTACGTTGCCAGTCGTGAGTTGTATTCAACCCATGACTATAAAAGCCTTTCTCTAAAGGCCTTTCTCCAATAGGATCCAAAAACTCTGCGAATGACTGCGTTGCGTTGATTTTAGCATGTGTTGCTATAGCAACCGACGCAGACGCAGAGTTTTTAAAACCTATTGGAGAAAGGCCTTAAAGGCCTTTCTCCAATAATCCCAAAACTCTGCGAATGACTGCGTTGCGTTGATTTTAGCATATGTTGCCATAGCAACCGACGCAACACAAAGTTTTGGGAACCTATTGGAGAAAGGCCTCAATAGGTTTTAAAAAGTGTGCGAAGGACTGCGTCTGCGTCGGTTGCTATAGCAACACATGCTAAAATCAACGCAACGCAGTCATTCGCACACTTTTTAAAACCTATTGGAGAAAGGCCTTAATAAGAAGAAGAAGAAGAAGATGAAAAGGTCTATAGCCTTATAATTGTTATTTCTAACAGTTATTGAGTTATTAATCGACGTAAATTGTTGTAAAGAATTTTTAAATAATTACAAATGACGAAAATAGTGCGTCAAATTTTAACTAATTTTAGACAGTATTAGATGACAACATCAAAAGATTCTTTTGTGAGCAGATTAAAAGGCGATTTATCGAAAAATATAAAATACTGACAGGTATCTAATCTTTCATTTTAATTTATTAAATAATTGAATATGAATTTATTTAATTTTATTATTATTATATATTTTCTATTAAACTTTCACATTCATCTCTTAAATAAGAAAGAATACAAATTATTTCCGCGATTATTTTTTAGTAATCTTATTCGCCTTTGAACTACAACAGATAATTTTGTGTTAGTAAATAAAAAAAAAAGTTTTGTAAATCGTTAAAAGGTTTCGTAAATTTCATTAAATTTGTATACGTTCAGTTGGTATAATTTTGCAAAAGTTTATAACCTAGAAATTAAAATTTAGATTAATTTTATATTTTTTATGATTAATTATATTATATTATTAGATTTTGACTATGGCCCTAGCTATGCAAATGACGACATTATTAACATCCTTGCCAACCAGGGATCTACTTTGGGAAATATCAAATTTAGCAGTGATGAAAGAAATGAAGGTTGCATTAAAAGAAACGACAAAAAGTGGGTTTCTCGTTGGTGGTGCTGTCATGTTATCGGGTCTTTTTGCCGGACCACCAGGAATATTGATTGGTAATTAAATAATTTAATCCATTTAATCATAAAAGTATACAACTTTAACAACTTTACAAATAAGTTTCAACATTCTCCATTCATTTTCATTTACATAATGTTTATTTACTTTCTCTGTTGGGATAATTTTTTAATTTAAAATTTTTAAAAAATCAGAGAAATTGAAAGTAGTTACAGAAATCAGGAAAAGTCAAAAAGTTCTATAAAAGTACTGTAAAAATATCAAAGTTTTAGGAATACTACAAAAATTCTCCTCATTGGTTAAAAGATGCATCTCAATAGATTAATTTATATGCAAAAGAAAAAAATATTGAACATTTTAAAGATTAAAATCAAAAACACTATAAACAAGTTGTTCATTTCATAAAATATATACCAATTGCTTAATTTTTCATTATAGATCATTTTCACAAGAATTAATTAAAATTTCGATACAGGAAAAAGTTATTTCAAAAAATACAAAAAAAATTTGTTTTCAAATTTTAAAAAAATTGTATAAAAAAAAATTTTGTAGATGAGTCATTTCATTATATTTCGACTAAAGTCGTTGCCGACTAATTTTAAAAAGTTATAATATTTTGCAGGAATGTTTTTTAAGATATTAGGATCACCGAACAAAACGAATTTTTAAAATATTTTTTATATTTATTGTAAAATAAGCATCTAAAGTATATGAAGTCGTAAAAACTGTCACATTTTCATCTATTAGAAAATATTAAAGAAAACACATAATTTACTATAAAAACGTAAAAAAATTATCAGAATTTATTAAGAATGAATTATTTTATTATTATAAATTGGTAGAAACAATTATAAATGAGAAATATTAAATAAAAAATGATTTTAAAGTTCACCTGGCAAATAACCTATTTTTGCAAATTTCATTCACCAAATGTGAGAAAGAGAAATTATTAAATTGAATAAAACCTTATGAGATATAAAGTACCTGTGATTAACTTTTAGTTTTTCTTAACACTTTCTTCCTTTTTTTCACAAATGTTAAAAAATAAGCAATTAAAACTGGCACTTTGCTTATTTTCACGACTTTAAAATGCAAATAACTTCTGCCCAGAAAAATGAAAAATTACGAAAATTGGGCAATAATTAATTGATCACTAGATACACTCACTGGAAAAAGATTTTCTTTGGTCCCGAAGCTATTTTCCGAATTAATTAACTTTAAACTTTTCACTATTTTTGTCAGGTTAATACATGTGTTTTTTAAAGGACGAAGTTGGCTCTTCTTGTTTAATCGTTTTGAACCAACATCAGTTTTAAGAGAACATTAATTTATAACTACATAATAATGAATATTGTTAACACTGTTTTGTAAAATACTTATTTTTTCATCACAAATAATTCCTAAATTTGAACCTGGAATTTTTAATATTTTTAACCTGGAAAACCTGGAAAAAGCCTGGAATATTGAAATCTAGATTTTGTGGCAACCATGATTACTATTTAAATGTTGTTTTGATTTTTTTCTAGTATTTTTGGGCATGTCAAGTGGAAAAAAGTCAATTGATTCAGAAGAAATCAATTCTAATGCTCTTGTTGAAGCTATTAAATTGTGTTTATTTGATAGTCATATTTTGGCGAATAAATATTATTATTTAGTATAGTATATTTATAATAATATATATATTATTAATATATTTAATTATTTCTACTAAACATAACGTTTTATGTCAAACTTATTAAATTTTAGCAATTTTTAATGAGTGTCTCACAACTGGAGACATTTTTTTTTTTTTTTGACAAAAGCGATGTGCTCGGAAAATGTATCGTAAAATTTTTTGAGTTCATCGAAACACTACACTTTCTTTTAATAAAAGTTGCGTATTTCTGTTACCTTTCGAACGGTGTATTTTATTTACAATTTCGTTTACCCGTTTACAATTTACGGGTCAAAAATAAAACCCGTCTCACAACTGGAGACTCTCCCCTACCATTTGTCAAAAGTTTCAAAAACACATATGTATTTTAAACAATTTTTTTCTATTAATCCCATTAAATGTCCATAATATATTATATGGAAATGGAAACTAGAAAAGTTAAGCTTTATTTTCATATAATTTTGATAAAAATCGACGGGGGGGGGTGTTTTGAGATATTAAGAGTTTTTTAACCTTTCAAACAGAAATTTCTCTAAGAAATTGAGAGAAATTTAAAAAATAAAAATAGCAATAGATACTTCATGAAATTCTCTACAAATAATTTAATTTTTATATAATAAAATTTATTAGAAAATCGCTCTCCTTGCGATTGGTTTTTCTCGGTGAAATAGTTTGAAATGAAATGCCTCATATATTCTAGATGAAAATGAGTCCATATAACTTTCTTTTGAAAAATTGAAAATCGTCACGAATGTGAAGCTTCCTTATGAGGAAGCAAAAAGTGATTTTTTTTAAAAGGAATAAATAAATCTATGACGTATTTTAATTAAATTTTTTATTCTATAATTTCATTACCAAACAACTTTTTAAAAAATTACACAAAAAGATTTCAAAAGAGTTATGGTAATGGTTCAAAATAGTCTAATTGATTTATATAATTTGATTGTTGTACAGAAAAAGTTCAACAACGCCAAAATTTAATAGGATGAAAAAGAAGTTTAAACTTAAATTTTAAAGGCAAATTCAGCATTTTTTCGTTCTTCTGCACAGGAGTCATAAGTGATAAAAATAACCAAAAATGAGCAAATCGTCAATTTAAAGGTAAATTTTTTTATATTTTTGCAATATAAAAATAAAAAGTCATCATAAGAAAGTATTTTTTCAACTAACATTTTGAACTTTTTTATACATTAATCAATTAATATAAGTCAATTGGGTCATTTTAAACAAGTATGAATAAAGCAATTTATATTATCATAATTGTTTTAATATACACTCAAATCTCGCTATAACGACCTTCTCTATAACGAGCGCTCTCTATAACGAGGGCTCTGTCTCTCGGTATAGCGAGAAAAATTTCCTCCTGATTACCCCCACTATTTATAAACAAATGCACATTCAGTTGGATTAAATTTGGTTAAAATCAATATTATTTATATAAAATAAAAATAAAAAAAGTCATAAAAAGTCACTTCTTATTTGAAATTATATCAATGAGTCGAATATCTTCAAAATTTTAGCTTATATAAATTTCTGTATGTTAAAGTTCAAATTAAACTAGGTTACGTTTGTAATTTTGACATTATAAAAATTGTAAACACTAAAAAAAAATGAATGAAGAATTGCGCTCGTAATAGAGGGAGACTTGACTCCCGAACTTCTCGTTATAGCGAGATTCGAGTGTATTTTTATTAAATTTTAATAGCTGTCAAATAACTTATTTTCTACCCAGTTCAATTTTTAATTCAAATTTCAATTTAAATACTAAAAATAATAATTTATTTATAAAATAATTGCCTAAAATGTCAATATATGTTAGATACTTTAGATACATTATTTAGATTATAATTATTTTAAAAATGTTTAATAAATTTTAAAGAGTTTTTAAGCATGCGCATGCAGAATTGTATTTTATATTAAGTTTACCTGTTTACGTCCTCATAAAATTTCACATTTCTCAGCAATATGTTTCTTTATCTTAGTCAAATTTTTTGCCAGTAAAAGAAACTTACGTTCTCTTTTTTTTCTGCAATGCAATGCTCGTAAGTGTAAGACCATTGCTGGAATGTCAAATATTTGCACAATGCAAAAATATGGGAGTCGGTTTCGGACCACCCCCATTATTTTCACAAAATGTTTTGCCGAACACTTATGTCAATGGAATCAATTTCATTTGAATATTGTACATTGAATTCAAGGTCATAAAGTCGATAAAGACTTTATTGGTATGGGCAATTTTACTAGTGGCATAATCTCCCCTATTAATTTTTTTATTTTTTCTAGTACAATTTGAACTGTATTTTCGTCTTGTCATTTTTTCAAACGAGAAGGTTAAGATTAATAAAAAACAAATATTACATAATACCTATTAAGTGCGTTTTTTATCTCATCAAGTACTTGGCTTTTTCACCCCTTTTTTTATTTTCTTTCATACCATTTTTACAATAAGCTATAACTCTGGTCTTCAAAAGGTTAAGTATAGTTTTCTCTTTATGTAAAAGCATTTACTTTTATTTTCCCTTCACTTAAACAAGTTGTAATACACTACCGTCCGTGAGTATCAGGATGCCCCTTTTTTCATGAGTGGAAAAATACTTAAAACGTAGAAAATAAGAATAACAAAAATTTTTCGTATTTTTTTCCTGAAAGCTAATGAAATTATGAAACGACTGACACCTTATCGAAGAATTTTCGTTGACTTTTCTGTCAGATACAGAAAAAATACTGGATTTTGCATGCTTTTCGTAATTTTAAATATGTTCATTTAATAGATATACTAAAATTCAAAAAAGCTTTTTAATTACTTAATTATTTAATTTAAAAAAAATTTTTTTTTGAAAAAGTGTCAATACGTTTTTCAAAATTTTTTTATCCGACTTTCACAGTTTCAAATTTTTTTGGAAAAATTTATATCACAATACCATTAATTAATTTAGATTCTACATTGAATAGAGATTGAAACAAGACCAAGAACGCTAAAAAAGTTCATTAGTTTTCGAGAAATTAAAAAATTACGAAAAGCATGCAAAATCCAGTATTTTTTCTGTATCTGACAGAATAGTCAACGAAAATTCTTCGATCAGGTGTCAGTCTTTTCATAATTTCATTAGCTTTCAGGAAAAAAATACGAAAAATTTTTGTCATTCTTATTTTCTACGTTTTAAGGATTTTTCCACTCATGTAAAAAGGGGCGTCCTGATACTCACGGACGGTAGTGTATGTTTGAAAAGTACACCGAGATTTTTTTGTGCAGAGCAACTCAAAAATTAAAATCCAAAAAAAAACTATAATATTATAGATACAACAGCCAAACGAGAATCAAAAGTTGCGTGTTACCTAATGAAACTTATATTCTAAATGTCTATGGTAAAACAGTTGAATAGTTTTCATAGAAAACTCAAATGGTTTTTAGTGTTTTTTTGTAAATAAAGGGGTTCAATTATTGTCGAGTATGTTGACAAATTATATTCTTTGAAATGAACAATGACAAATTAATATTTGTTATTTATTATGTGTTGTAAATGTAAATTTGTTCCTTCCCCCAGTCTAATCAATTTTAGTTAGAAAGAATACTTATTGATTCTTTAAAAAATTTATAGAATTTTTTCTTCTAATAATACATAATTGTTCTTCTTTTTCTAAATGAGCAACCTTTGAAGCTCGGGTTATTTCATCGGGTGCAGGGAAAAAGTCAAAATTCTTTTCGGAAATCAGAAAAAATTCGGGTAACCAAATAAAATTTTCAACAACAGTTGTTCCGAAAATTCATTACAAATAATAGAAAAATAGTCTTTTAAAAACCTATAAATTCTGTTCTTTACCTAATGAAAATAAACTTTAATTGTACAACTAATATTGTAATAGCAATTAATATTAAAAGAGTAATATTGTTTCAGGTGGTGTTGCTGGCAGTTGTTTAGCAGCGTACTTAGCACAAAATAAATTTAAAACAGTACCCGAAATATTTAACGAAGACCTCACTGATGAACAAAAGGAGAAACTTGCCGATGAATTGAGAAAATGTCTTACGGCACAAAATATTTTTACAATCGTCGAACTGGGGCTTCGTTTGCAAAACAATGACTTACTTATGGAAGCAATAGTGCAAATTGTTAGACAATTTATCACATCAGATTTAGCTTTAAAACTTATGTGACTTTTAATATTTTACAAGTTTTTATAAGAAATTCCAAAATATAACAAAATATAATTATGTAATTATACAATATCTACTTAAAGTATAATATTTTTTCTAATTCAAATTTAAAAAAAAGTCATTAAGTGAAAAATAATATATGCAACATTTTTATTACAAAAACATGTAAATAACGGGAAAATATAGATTAGTAAATATTTATATTTTAATAAAATAAAAATATTTTAAAATTTAAATTTACTTTAACACTTATTTATATATATCTAGGTATAAACCTATTCACTTTATTTTTTGTATACCTACTCGTTTGTTAGTATTTAATAAAATCACATTTATTAATAATAATAATAATTTTTTTTTTATTAAAATTTAATTACATTTATTGCAATTCAATTTCTAAATTCTTTTTACAATAAAAGAAAATTGAGTTAAGTATGTTTGAACTTTAGATATTTTATTAAAGTAATAATATAATTCATTATAAAACGTGTTTTTAACAAGTTTGATTTGGGAAAACAAAAAACAGGATGCGTAGTTTCTTGTATCATAGTTCTAAGTGTCAACTACAAGTAGAAAAGTACAATTACAAATGTACACTTTATAAACGACATTTACCACTAATATAAAGAAAAAAAATTGCTCTTTACTGCACGGAGAGAAATCTGTTGCTCTTAGCGCATGAGGAGGTCGTACTAAAAGCGCATACACACCACCATGCGTAAGTTGCAAGAAATCCATGCTGATTTTTCATGGATTTGAGCAACTGTGGCACAAGTGGGCACAAAGCTGTGCAAAGTTAACACCGGCCTTTGCAAAATTAGGTACAGACGTCTATGCGAAAAACGAACCAACATGTCTCTACCATTATTCGTAACACATTTCTCTCCGTGTGTAAAGCTGATAATTAATGTAGAAAGAAAAATAATATTCTTCTATACAAGATTGGCAAATAATTCTTCTTTTTAATCACATAATTTTTAGTTTATTCGAAAAATGTAATAGAGTTTCAATACCAAAACGTAAAGTGAAACTAAAAAGAATAAACTATCAATATAGTTTTAAACAAAAAGGGTTTTGAGTTCTGTTTTTAGTTTGAAATTGTCTAACATTGAACCCATACTAAATTGCTATTCATTAACGTTTGTCGCTTGTGATTTGACATGCACGGGTTGTGCTTCAGAAATTTTCGAATTAACTGTCGCCAAAAGTTCTGGCGATAAATCGACTGGTGTCATATTTTGTTCGGAATTTGGATCGTTTGCATTATAATCTTTACTTACCATATAAACCTGTACGACAGTTTTTCCTGGTTCGCCAGGTGATTCACGAGTTATAATAACTAAAGAACCGGGCTCAATATCTTTCATATTGGGAATGACGTTCGAAATAATGTCATGCGACTGTGACTCAGATCGTTCGGTTTCTGGGGTATTTTTCAATTCCGATTCTTGTGCTTTTGACTCGTCAGCATCGGAATAATCGGACGATTCAATATTTGGTGCTTGTAATTTTCGTCTCTTTGGCAATCGTCCCGATCTCGTTGGTTTCACATTATAAATTTCCATGTCCTCCGTATCGCTACTAGATTCATTTGTCTCATCATAAACTGACAATGAATTTAGGGATTTACGCTTACGTCTCGTTCGTCTCGATTTTTTCTGTGAGTCCTCGTTTCTCGATTCGCCGGAGCTTAAATCGCCGTCGATATCCTCGTCCCCAGAATTTCCGAGTTCTTCGATACTTCCAATCACGAAGCCTGGAATTAAAATGTATAAGTGTATGAGTAAAAAAAATATTATATTATAAATAATGAGTAAAAATCATTTTTATGTTTTGAATTATAAAATTATAATTAACTTACGACACTTGGAGGGACGTTTCGATTTCTGTTTTTTAGCCACTTCCGTTTTCATTTTTAAGGCCTCCGCTTCTTTTCTTTCATTTTCCGCAAAAATCTCTGTAAGAAAAATTCTATTATTTAAAAACGAAGATGTAAAATTACAGTCGAAATCTGCAGAATTAAAAATTACACATAATTTTTCGAAAACTAAAATTTTCGTTCTTTATAGTAAATTTTTTATTTATCCGAAAAGTAAAGAATCGATATCATCTTTTGATATACATGTTACGGTCGCGAATTCAATAATAATTATCATGGATATTTCAAATCAAATAATAGTGCATTTATAAATTACATTTGCTTGACATTTACTACACGTTTATTATGAATTCTAAATAACGAAACTGTAACAAAATTTTCAGTTTTAAACTACTTATTGAATTATATTTATAAAACTAGCTGCGATACCCGTCTTCGACGGTTTATTAGTTATTGTTATTCCTACTTATATATTAATAGCTACGATACCCGTCTTCGACGTGTTTCTTAGTATTTTTAAAGTTTTCCATATTGAGTATTGATTAGTATTTAACCAACTACATTAAACTAATTTTCTTGATGATTATTAATATTAATTGATGAAGAAGAAAACGAAATTTTAAGGAAAGTAAAAAGATAATGTTTAGAATTTTTAAAATCGCCCTAAGTGTGAAAACCATCATTGCTTAATAACGGCCCAGTACTGGCAAAGTTGGCACCTCGTCTTGGCCGATATTATTGGGACGACTCTCGTGGTGTTAATTACGGTTGGACGTCGGCAGACGCTAATGGCCCAATATTGACTGCCATTACTTACCCAGTATTGTCAAAAAACAAAAACTAATATAAATTATTACATTTTTTATTAATTAACTAATTAATTTATCATATTTATACGGCTATTATTCCACTCTGTTACTCTGACGTGAAATCAAGAAAGCATAATGGTTTTATAAGCTACACTATTTATCGATATTGTGATATTATTGGGGCGAGGTACGTCAAAATTGTAAAAATTGATGGCAATTGTATTTTGCCATCATAGCAGATACAAAATTTTTGCTATTAATGTGCCATTACTGATCCGAGCAGCGTCCCAATATTCTTAAACTGAAATTACCAACGTTTATTCGACGAAAATTTTTACTTTAGCTAATTGCTAATTTTAATATTAACAGCCCATTAAAAAAATTACGAAAGGATCACGGATTTCCCGAAATTACTGGAAATTCAACTAGATTATTGTTTCCTGACCACGCAAGCATTTTTTTTCTCTTAATAATAATATCTCTTAATAATCAGAAGCCATTTAAAAAAATTGCAAGAGGATTCAATGCGAGGAAAGTAGTGATTTTTATTTTTTTGTTACGGTTTTTCCAAAACTCCCGGAATTAAGTTTTATCCAACACTTTCGATTACAACTTGCCATCATAGATAGAAAAGTTTAGCCTAATAATCTGATAGTAATGTGCCACTATAGATCCGTGCTAAGTTTCGTTACCAGCAATGAGACGTTTTGAATGCCAATATTGGCCCAGTAATTTTTGCCAGTTTTCTGCAGACATTCACTGAAAAAATTACATTCTAATTTTAAGAAAATCTTCTTAAATATGCGCCAAGAATATTCCCCACTTAAATTAAGTGGGAAATATTCTTACAATAAGAAGAACATTATTATTAAAAGAATATTTCCCACTTTATTTAAGTGGGGGAATATTCTTGGCGCATATTTAAGAAGTTTTTCTTAAAATTAGAATGTAATTTTTTCAGTGTTGACGGGCCCGTTTTGCAGTCTTGGAATTTCACACTTGGAGCTTATAAAAAACCATTTATTAGCTTTTTTTCCGAGAAGCACCACGTGGAGGTAACCACTATTAGTTGTTTTTGGCAAGTTTTTAAATCCCGTGCAGAAATTGCCCTAACAGGGCCCTGACCCCGCATGAAACCATGAACCCGACCGGGACCTGACCTGGCAGCTCGTCAAATCAGGCTTTGCGCCATGGCGCCGGCCGGGTTCCTTGTTTCACCCAGGTCTGGACCCGGCCAGGCCCCTGTCAAAATTTCTACTCGGGATTATTTTCCAGGAGCTTAGTAAAACTAAAAAAATTCTTGTTAATTAAATTCGATAAAAAATATGAAACATTTTCATTTCAGTATTACTAAATTATCTTGGATCATAATTTGTAAAAACAAAAAACATCTTATTTAAAAGTAATAAGTAGGTAAAATAAAAAAAATTAGATATTAATATTTTCAATTTTTATAGGTAAAAATATTTAAACTTTTAAATTTTAGATTTAAAATTCCTATTTTTTTCTATTTTTATGATAAAATTGAAATTAAAATTACCAAGAAAACAAATTAATTAATTAATTAGAAAATATCAATACCAACTTAATGCAAGAATTAATTAATATTTAACCCTTTGAGTAGCAGTGATACATTTAATTCATATGAACATTTTTTTGTTAACTTCTGCATAACTTTCTTGATTTTAAAAACCGAATATTGAAACAATTTTTTTGGTCCAATGAGGCAAATTTCTTGCTTTAAATACTGGTCTTTAAATAAAAAAAGTTTAATAACTTTCCATAAAAAGCTTGTTTAAAAATCAAGAATCATCATTTTTGTAGAAAAAATTTGATCAGAAAAAACGAAAAAAATTTCAAAATACGTCTTTTTTTGAAATTTTAGTATAGAAATGGGTTGTATTTATCTAAAAAAGTTAGCTAAGGATAGTTTTGCATCCATTTTATAAATAATAAAAATTTGTCATTTTTTTGATTTTTCGAATTTTTTGAAAAAATGTCGTAACTTTCGTTCACAGAAATTTTTTTTTTACTTTTTTCGAATTCTCATGTCTCAAAACGAAAAAATATATAAAAATTTTCAAGCTTGGAGCATTGTACAGACAGAAGTCTGATTCTATTAATATAGATAGATAGATTTAATTACTAATAAATGAATGATTAATATTATTTGATTGAATAAATAGTTTTGTGTATAAAAAGTAAGAAATAAATATTATTAATATTATTTATCAGTTATTTTTTGACCAAATTTATTTATAAACCGTAAATAAATAATTTTTAAACATTAGCATTGTTATTAAATATTTTTAAGTTTAAATAATTTTTTTACTGAAAATCTAGTGCAATAGAAAAAATTTTAAGACAAACTTAGAAATAATTATTTAAATAAATAAAATTTTCGTTGCTTGATTTGTTTCTGAAAAATCCTACAAAAATTTCTAACAGTGTATAAAAGATGCACCTGCAAGACAGGATAACTGAATCGTCTTTTTTTATTCGTAAATAACATTGCCCAAAATTAAGTGGGCAATGACGACATTGCCCGGGCATTACTGACTATGCCCGGGCACTGTCACATTTTACTAAATTTTGTTAAAAATACCCGGGCAATGTCGACAATGCCCAGTGGCCGTGGGCATTGTCGACAATGTCCAGTGACTGTGGGCATAGTCGACTTTGCCCGGGCATTGTCGACAATACCCAAGAATCGACAATGACCGTAACATACATATAATATAAACGTAATTTTTTTATTTTTCTTATTAGAAAAATACTAAATATCTTTCCATTGTTATTATATTTTCTCTTACCCATTTCCTCCTTTAAAAGATCTTGATCGAAAACCTGACACTTAAGGGCCTGTTCAATTAATTGTCTATTTGTTTTTTCCTCCTTTTTAAATTTGAGTTTCAATTCTTGTCGCGTTCTCTTTGGGAAAAATCTTTGCATTAAAAGAAAATCAGTGCCAATATTACTGAGTGCTTTATAAAATCGTAAAGTGTCCCATTTTGACCAGTCTTTGCTTTTTTGACGTCGCTTATAAAAACCACCTCCATTCGTTTCATCGTGTACAATTGGTCCAGATCTATTCTTTTGCTCGGTTCGCTCGATTATTAAACTCTTTTCATCGACAATCAATTGTCCATCGGGACCAACTTTCACTCGAGGAACGGGCATTGCCGTTGGTTGCTCTTCTTCCTCCTCCTCCTCCTCCTCCTCGTCATCATTTTCCTGTTGATCTTCCGCGGCATTTCTGTAATTTTTAATATTATTGAGTTAATCCAAATTTTTATTTTTATTTCAAGTTGAAATAATTTCAAGTTTTATTAATGTTAATTGGATAATTAATTAGTTACTTTTAGTACATTATTTTTACTAATTTATTTTTAATCAATAATTAATTTTAAAAAACTCAAAAATTCCTACCAATTATAAATCCATAAATTTAATTTAAAACTATTAAAAAATTAATTTCCTTATTTAGTTTTACTACCTAAACTAAATTTTTAAAAATTGATTTAAATTTAAAAAATTGGGAAAAATCAAATTTGATTTGTACAAATAATGAAATTTCAAAACAACTCACGAGCTAACGGACATTTTTCTGGCGGCCGCTGAATTTTCCGATCTTGTCATTGGATTTGTAACTGGATTATAATAAATCAAATCGTACATTGTCAATTTAGTTCGATCGGGTGTTTTGTTCTCGTGTTTAAGCATAAATTCCCTTCGTGCATCGGCTAATTTTTTTGCTGATTCCGAAACTGTTAATCGTCTCTTCTGTTGGCCGACTTTTATTTTTGAAATATTATGAGCACCACTTGATAGCTCCTTGTTACTTTGTACAGAACAAATTGAATCGTTTCTTACACGCATGGGAGTAGATGATGATTTTCTACTGTCGTCTTCAGATTCACTTGCACTCGCCCCACTTCCTTGAATGCTATTTTTTCGTATTCTTCCGCCACTGTCGAGTCGTGGAACCGGTCGCATAAAGCACGAACGATTCGCAATTTGTTTTGAAGAATTCACTGTAATTTCACATTTTTTAAAATTCAAAATATGTTTAAAAAAAGCTAAATAAAAATATTAGTAACAAAATTAATCAAAACTGCTTCTCTAATAATAATTATTTACTTGCGGATTATATTAATAATCATAATGTAATACGGATATAAAATAAAATATGTAATTAAAATAGAAAGCGCTACCAAGCAGGGTGGACTTATCAATTATTTGAGATGTTTCCTCATAGGGTTCAAAAGACAAATTTAAAAAAATTGTTTACACTCTTGAACAGTCCCTAAATAACTTGTAAAGTTTAAAAATGTTCAATTTATATTTTTTGATAAAAGGTTTCATTAATCTTAATATTCAGAACTCATGAATCGTTTAATAATAAATATATTCTATACCTTCAACATGCGAACTCAAAGTTTCTTGAGTATCTTGATCACTTTGATTTTTGTCAACATTATCATCTCTATTCGCTGTAATTTGTTTCTCAGTTTCGTTATTCGAATCATTTGGTTCATTAATAATTTGAATATTGTTGGAATTTTCTATCTTATTATTATCCTGACTAATTTCAATTTTTCGACTTTGCTCAATATTTTCAACAAATTCTTGTTTCATATTATGTAATTCAATTGTGATTTCTGCATCATTCTCAGTCTCCACAACAGAATTTGCTGATTTTTCAGACTCATTTTGTTTATTGTCAGTGTTAGTATTTGAAATAGAAATCGAATTTGCAGATTTCCCCCCGTCAAAATTAGAATTTGAAATTGACTCATTTGATGGAGGATGCAAACTTTGTTTATCTGCATCTGAAGGCAAATTATTTGAATCGTCGGCTTTTGCTTGCTCTTGTAATTTTCGACGAATTGGCACAGTCGCCTGTACTTTTAAACGAGCACGTCGCATTTCTGATTTTTTTATGACATTTACGACATTTACAAATGAAAATCTGGAAAAAAGAAAATTTTAGTAACAATTTTGTTTTTCACATAACATTATTTACTTATTATGTTAAAATAAAATATGTTATCTTCGCTAAACAACGAAATTCGTTAAATTGTTTTCTCAAAAAAAGAAATAAATATTATATGATAATGCTATTTTTTTATGTACATAGAATAAAAATATTTTATATTGAGCAGATACTTATGTTGACAGATGGAAAGTTTACCTATATTACATATTCATGTTTTTTATACACATGTAGTTTATTACAAAATAAAGTTGTTCTTGTTTTAAATTTATTACTAACCTGATGAAAGAATAATAACTGATTTTTTTATGAGATAGACTTTTAACTGAAATCAGGAAAAATAGTGAAACAAATGCATCTCGAAGTCACATTATTCGCAAATAAAGGAGTAACAAACACAAACGTGCATTGCATGTAGGTTATGTTGATGTAACTTTCGTTCTTTTGCGTTATGCTTACGTTCCTTGTTTCTAGGAACATTTGGTATTCTTTTTTCAGAAATACTAGGGGTGCGACCGTCTGTACCAAAAACATGGTAAGTTCTCAAATGCGCCACTGGACAAAGGCAGGCCCCACATTTGTCATATCTGAGGAAAGTGAAAAGTTTGTTCGAGAGATGGAGCAGGTGTTCTTGGTATAGAAATTAGTCAAGTGAATTCAATTTCTTGCCAATTTCGCTCCGTATAGTGAAAATAAATTTAAGTGAATGGTTAATTAAATGGAAATTAATTAATTGTTCTATATCAATTGCGAATAACATTTTTTAAGTAAGTTGCTCTTTTTATTTTATATTAATAATAATAATAATAATAAATATTATTATTATTGTTTAAAGAAATGTGGAAATTTTTTTTAATAACTAATTTATGAAACATTTTATTTTTAAATCGTTTTTATTTATATTTTTTCTTTGGAATAATTTAATAATTCCTTTAATAATAAGATTTTTTGATATTTTCAAAAGCTCTTTATTTTTATAGAATTAGTTTGTATTTTAATTAAATAACGAGATTAAGAATTCTTTATTGTATTATACTTAATTTTACTTTCATAATTATAAATTAATTGCATTTATTTTAAACTTAGAAAGTACTTAAATTTTCTTGAAGACAAATAAAATATAATTTATTAACAATTGTAATATTGAATATAATTCTATTTTCTAATTTGAATTTCATTTAATTAATTTTTTAAATTAGCTAAAGTAAAAGTTTTTCTGAATTCACGTTCATACTTTTAGAAATGATAAGGGTGCGATCCCATGTGAGCAGAATACGTCGACCGAAAACAGAAAACCATGAGAGTAAAAAGAACAACAATATCTACCTATCTCTTTTGCACTCATGATTTTATGATTTCGGTTGACGTATTCTGCTCACATGGGATCGCACCCTCAGACTTCTTATAAAGTTTCAAATATTACGGAAGTTTAGAAAAATTATTCCAATTTTTATTTTATAATTAATGGTATTTATATTAAAAACAGTAATATTTTGAAAAATAATTTTTTTTTGTAATATATAAAAAAAGCAGGCTTCGCACTCATCTACTAAAATCTATACTATTTACTCCTTTTTTTGTCAAATTTCTGACACTAAATTATAATTATAATTGTTATTGAAAATTCTTTTAAACAATTGGAAATTGAAGAATGCTCGCAATGTTTTTTAATATTAAATTACCATGTATTGATGCGCAAAACTCCAAGGATTAATTTCAAAAAAGACAAATCAGTAAACTCCAATATTATATAGAAATTGTGTAGAATTTTCTGTCAAAATGCAGCCGAAAATCGACTTTTAATCTTAAAAATCCGCTTGGAAGCGTAAAGTTTTCAACAAAACAAGAGAAGATCTTATTTATATTCGTTTGCAATTTTATTTTTTTCCTGGAGCTCGAGTCGATTGTCGTCTGCATTTTGGCAATAAAATAATTTTTTTGCCAATAAATTTATATTCTTAATTATATTACAATTTTTATACTCACTTTATAATTTTTCTATAGTTATTAATATAATTTTTCTATAATTTTTCTATAGAATAATGCAATTTGTAATTGTTTTTGTTTAATATTTTTGAGAGATAGGATAGATATTAATTTAGCAATAATAGAGGGGTAAATAAGGATTTTATTTTAAAAAATTTAATTGACGAATAAAGTTACAAAATTTGGTCGAAAAATTGAGATTAAATTTTAACATATTTTTTAAAACTTTTAATTACATTATTTGGCTTTAATATAATTTTTAAAATTGTAACGGTCTGTGATGCCTAATTATTTATAACTTTTTTTATCGTCACTACATCTTAAGGCTCGATTTTAATCATCAGAGCTTCACTTTGATCGGAATCTAAAAAAAAGAAGTCACATATTTTAAGAGGTTAAAATAATGAAATATTTATAGAATTCAATACCATTGTCAAATAATTAATAAATTATTACTCTTTCTCAGGCTTCGCACTCGACAATTACTTTTAAAAAAGTAGCAGAAAGTAGCTTTAAATCTGAAAATAGTAGTAAAAAGTAGCGATCGAAAAATTAAAATTTGACGATTAAAAAAATCTCGTTTTAATCGAATCACAAAAAATTGATTGAGAATAATTTTTTTTCAATCATTAGAGGATTTAAACTAATGTAATTTGTGAAAATGTATCTTTTAGTGTCAGAAATTTGACAAAAAAAGGAGTAAATAGTATAGATTTTAGTAGATGAGTGCGAAGCCTGCTCTTTTTATATATTACGTTTCCAAAAAAAATTATTTTTTAAAATATTACTGTTTTTAATATAAATACCATTAATTATAAAATAAAAATTGGAATAATTTTTCTAAACTTCCGTAATATTTGAAACTTTATAAGAAGTCTTATCATTTCTAAAAGTATGAACGTGAATTCAGAAAAACTTTTACGTTAGCTAATTTAAAAAATTTATTAAATGAAATTCAAATTAGAAAATAGAATTATATTCAATATTACAATTGTTAATAGATTATATTTTATTTGTCTTCAAGAAAACTTAAGTACTTTCTAAGTTTAAAATAAATGCAATTAATTTATAATAATGAAAGTAAAATTAAGTATAATACAATAAAGAATTCTTAATCTCGTTATTTAATTAAAATACAAACTAATTCTATAAAAATAAAGAGCTTTTGAAAATATCAAAAAATCTTATTATTAAAGGAATTATTAAATTATTCCAAAGAAAAAATATAAATAAAAACGATTTAAAAATAAAATGTTTCATAAATTAGTTATTAAAAAAAATTTCCACATTTCTTTAAACAATAATAATAATCTCTCTATATTATAAAAAGATTTCGCCGCCGGATTCAGTGCCCTGAAGTTGGCCACAAATGGTCAAAGGTCATCGCTCTGAAGTTGGCCTCAGGTCACATACGTAGGTCAAGAGGTGAACATAACCTCAAAATCAGGTCAAAAGTTATTGCGGTCACAGACGTAGGTCACGAGGTAAACATAACCTCAAAATCAGGTCAAAAGTTATTGCGGCCACAGACATAGGTGGAGAGGCGAACATAACCTTAAACTTAGGTCAAAAGAGGGCCTATGAAATCGACAAATTTCCTTATATCTTCTGGAGTTAGATCAAAATTGACCTATTTATTAACTTACACATAAAAAAAGCCCTCATTAAGGCCTTCCAAGGGATCAAAATTTAGATAAAATTCAACCTTTTTTTTAACTTAAAGGGGGACATTAAGGAGTCGTTATCGTACGTCACAATTAATGTCAACAGTGTCAAAAATTAAATTACATTTCTACGTACCTTCCATATTATTTAAAATCGACTTCATATTATTACAAATTAAAATAAATTCAAATAAATTTTATTTTCAATTTACAAAAATTTACAAAAATAATCTATTAATTTTTGTAATATTATTAATTAAATTAATTTTCCTGCTTTATTGTTTATTAATATTACAGGGAAGAAACGAATTTTTTAACTCAAAATCTAAATAAAAAGAAATTATTCATGTCTTATATTTCGGACCTGATTTCAAATACTACAATCTGAATCTATAATTTTGAGATACAAAATTGGTTACTTCCCCGTAATGTATCTTGAAAACAAATTGAATAATACAAATAATTTCAACAAACACTAATTTTACTGAATTTGGCTAAAAACTAATATTGATAATAAATATTATTAATTAATTCTTAATTTAAAAATTAATTTTAAAATAAAAATAGAGGGTTGGCGATTCGATGTTTTTAGCATTCGACGTTTTTATCATTCGACGTTTTAAACATTCGACGTATTGACAATTCGATGTTTTGAGAATTCGACGAATTGACAATTCGATGTTTTCAAAATTCGACGTTTTTTCCATTCGACTAAATTACGAATCGTCTACTGGACAATTCGAATAGATGGCGTTTCGACTATTTAACCATTTTTACAAATAGCTTTTCCACCACTTTAAGATTATAATAGATGACGTTTCGGCTACTTGCTTTTTGGCTCAGGCTGGAGTCCCATGGTAGCGTTTTGCGTTGCGTTTTGTAACTAGACAATGAGTGCAAATAGAGCAAACATATATCTCTATCTCTCTCACACTCATTGCCTAGTTACAAAACGCAACGCAAAACGCTGCCATGGGAATTCAGCCTCAAATTAAATTCACCCACAAAAATTTTCTACCAAATTAGCTTTCGGATAATTTGAAATTCGCTTAGTTGTATTTTCCTTAAAAATTAGTTTAGATTAATTTGCATTTCGAGATTTCGAAATATCGATTAAAATTAATTCTATATAATAAATATTCGATTAAATGATAATTCGAACACTTTTAATTTCTATAGAATAAGGAATATGTAATATTACTTTTCGGTTCATTAAATTTAGGTTAGTTATAAATTTGGCTATAATAAATTTCGTTAATATTCACATTATATTGAACCACCATTCGACAAAATAAAATTAGGTTTAATTAAATTTCGGATTTTTAAACTTTCGACTAAATAAGAAATCGACTATTTTAAAATTTTTTCAATTATTGTTTAGTGAAAATAAAAATTATGTCAATGTTAATTCGTGAAAATAATTTTCTTAAATTTTGTATTCGATAAAAATAAATTCGTAAAGTTACAGATTCTACGTTTGTGAATTCGACATAATAGTCATTATGCTCTTTTCATTCTGATACAAATGTATGCAACCCGTTTTATACGTATAATACATTTTCGACGTATTATACGTATAAAACTGTATAAAACTAGGTAAAATACATAATCATGATGGCAGACTTATTTTGACATATTTACCCTCTTTACCATAACCTCAAATGTTTGTTATTTATTATTTATATTCCCATTATTCCTATATTTAAATTTAAAACAAAATTTTAATTGATAAAAAAAGTTTTGCACTACTATGACACTAGTGAATATACGTTATGTTGTATGCTTATATATACATCATATACATATATTACTGTGACGGCTATGATTAAATTTCTAAATAAAAGAAATTAAATATGTAAAGATTTTAATTAATAAACATTTTATTTTACTATTAACAAAACGATTAACAAAACAATCCCATGTGAGCAGAATACGTCGACCGAAAGCAGAAAATCATGAGTGCAAAAGAGATAGGTAGATATTGTTGTTCTTTTCACTCTCATAATTTTCTGCTTTCGGTCGACGTATTCTGCTCACATGGGATCGCACCCTCAGGGTACAGTCCCATGGCACCGTTTTGCGTTGCGTTTTGTAACTAGGCCATGAGTGTGAGAGAGATGAAGATATAGGTTCGCTATATTTGCACTCATTGCCTAGTTACAAAACGCAACGCAAAACGCTGCCATGGGACTCCACCCTGAGGCTGGAGTCCCATGGTAGCGTTTTGCGTTGCGTTTTGTAACTAGGCCATGAGTGCAAATAGAGCAAACATATATCTCTATCTCTCTCTCACTCATGGCCTAGTTACAAAACGCAACGCAAAACGCTATCATGGGACTCCACCCTCATACTTTACGCCGACGCTTCGACGCTTTGACGGTTTTACACCGACATGGGACGGCACCTTTATGTTTTTGGTACAGACGGTGGCACCCCAAATACTAAATAAGTATAGAATTTTTATTGCTAGCAATTGGCAGTATTGTGACTGTTTCCATGATTTCGGTCGGTAGCATTTTTTTGCACTGTCAGTTTATAAGGTTTATAATATAACGTTTATAAAAATTCAATAATCTAGAGTTTCTATTCCATTTTTTTCAATTCTAGAAGAAAATGGTAAGTATCTTTTAATAATTTTTATACGAATAGATAGGAACCCATTAGTATTTTTTATGTCACTTTTACTTTATAGATATTTTTAGGTTAGGAGGGAAATGCATTGTCATCAACAATTTCAAAGTTTAATAATCATTTCGCTCTAATATTTTTTTAAATAAAATAAAATTGAAATATTATTTTAAAGTTAATATTTAATTTTGAGTTGAACTTTGAAAAATAACATTCTATGAAATGAATGTCGGAAATGTAGGAAAATGAAACTATAATCTTTTTTGGGAATATTTTTAACAGAAAACCATATTTTTAAATAATAAATACGGAGTGGCTATTCGGCCAGTTAACTGTCAAAATAAGGTGGTTTAAATTTTGCCAGTGAACTGTCAGAATAAGTTGGTTTCCTTATTTGGCCAGTGTATCCAAAAAAATACACAATTAATATCTAAATTTGGCCAAATAAAAAAGGGACTCTATTTGGCCAGTCAAAATAAACAGTTTTTAATATTTCAATATACGGGCAAACTAATGTTTTGATAAATTTAAAAAAGTTAAAAAAAAACAAAGAACAAAATATATGAAGTAGAGACAATTTAACAAAAAGGTTGGAAAAGGTGAAAAAGTATTACGGAGTGTCTATTTGGCCCGTCAGCGGGCCAAATAAGTTACTTTTATTATTTGGCCCGTCACCCCAGTTCCATACATTTCAAGACGGGCCAAATAAAAAAAGTAGTTTATTTGGCCCGTCAGATAACAAATTAGCTGTAATTAATAACAATAGATTATTATTATTACTATTTTTACAAATAAATTAATTTAATCACCAGGTACTATTTTTTACATGAATTTGACATGCAGGTAATGTATATTTTAACCTCAAAGTAAAGATGCAAATTATAAACATATTTAGTACATAATATTATAAATTATATTTAAAAATAATTTTTAAAAGTAAACAATAAAATTCTTTAAAATATAAATGAATCATAAATCATAAAATATCAATGAAAATTTCCAATTTCCAATTTCATTTTTTAAAATTATTTACGGGAATTTAACTAAAAAAAATTTTAATTGCTTTTCTTGAAAAGGCTAATTTTTATTCATAGTTAAATAAATATTTAAATACTTATTTACTTTTTCAATAATTTCACTTTTTCTCACTTTAACTGTAATTATTCTAAAATTTAACTTTTTAAAAATATAAAAATTAAAATATTATTTTTACAATAATGAAAATTTCCGAAGTATACAATTTTTACATTCTCATAAAAAAATGAGAAAGTCTTGGATTTGTGCGATTTTTTTTAATTTAATTATTTCTTAAAATTTTGTTTATGAATTCTTCCAAAGGACTTTATAAAATTTTTTTTAGAGTTATAATTGCTGTGAAAATTTTAATATTTAGAAAAATAATTCAATGTTTGAGAAGGATTTTATTTAAATTTTTTAAAATAACTGAATTTCTGAAAATAATTTTTTTATTTATAAAAATAATTGAACTCTTGCGAAAAATGTATTTATTTATGAAAATAATTGAATTCTCACCTCACGTAGAATTTTATCAAATTTTTGTTTATAAATAATATTAAATTCTTTCGTGAAATTGTATTAAAATAGTAGATTTTTAAACTAATTGAGTTTTAGAGAATTTGATTATTTGCCAAAATAATTTATTTTTTTGTGAAAGATTCGTTTGTTTTTTAAAAATAATTCAATCGTTTCAAAGAATTTTATTAAAATTTTTAAGAAGAATTTTCTTATTACATTACCTGTCAAATTCATGTAAAAAATAGTACCTGGTGATTAAATTAATTTATTTGTAAAAATAGTAATAATAATAATCTATTGTTATTAATTACAGCTAATTTGTTATCTGACGGGCCAAATAAACTACTTTTTTTATTTGGCCCGTCTTGAAATGTATGGAACTGGGGTGACGGGCCAAATAATAAAAGTAACTTATTTGGCCCGCTGACGGGCCAAATAGACACTCCGAAAGTATTATTAATAAATAATATTAATTTTTTATTATTATTGCTTGTATTTATAAAAATATGTATATATATATATAATATGGGAGAGTGCTAGTTTCTCACAAAAAATTTTAAAAACAATTGATCGATACATACATTGTTAAAAATGAAATTTTATTTAAAAAATTTTAAAATCTTATCGTAAATTATTTTAAATTTTTTTAAAAATATTTTTATTAAAAACTACGCGTGAAAACAAAACTTTTCATCATAATAACGTCCAATTTGATCAATTTTTGACCGAGTTATAAGCATTTAAATCAAAAATTTACGTAAAAAACGTCATTTTTCAAAAATCTGTATCTCCTGAACCGCACAGAAAAAAATGCGAATGGTAAAAACAACCACATTTGTGTAGTTAGAAAAAAAGTAGTTAAAACTACCATATTCAACAGCATTTTAACTACACTTCCTCAGTTAGTGGAACCAAAATGAAGTAGTTGGTTTTATGTAGTTAAAATAACTACTTTACGTAGTTGAAATAACTAACAGATGCTTGTAAATGGCTCAACTATAGTGTAGTAGTAAAAACTATTGTTAAAAACTATTGTTAAAAATAGTTAATTTTACTATTGTGGTAGCAAAAATAACTATTTTGTATTAGTTGCAAACAAAATGAGACTTACTGTTTTTATATAGTAAATACAACCTCTGAAAGTTGTTACTTTTATGATTTATGTAGTTAAAACAACTATTTCTTACTAGTTGCAGAAAAAGAAAGAAATTTACTGTTTTCATATAGTAAAATCAATTGTTGAAAATAGTTATTTTTACTATTTATGCAGTTGAAAAGATCTTTTTTTTCTACAGAGAAAAAACGTGAGTGGTAAAAACATCCACATACACTGCAAAAATAAGTGTCTTATTTGATATCTTAAATTAAGATGTAAGATGGAAAAATGGTATCTTACATCTTAAAATAAGATGTTTTCTAAAGTATCTTACTGATTTTTAAGATGTTTTATACGTCTTAGATATTTCTTCTATCTTAAAAAAGTAAGATACTTCTGTAAGTTTTTTAAAGTATCTTAAATTAAGATGTTTCTGTCTCAACAAGATGTTTAGCGATAAGATACTCGTGAATTGTAAGATGCGAAAAAAATTTAAGTTACTAAAAACTAAGATGCATAAAATGTCTTACATATAAGCCCATAGTTAACCTCAAAACTTTTTTCCCGAAAAATATGCTGAAAATATGTACGAAGATGCTTTTAGTATCTTAAATTAAGATATTTTAAATGACTAAAAAGTGACTACAATAACATCTTAGAAATGACTACCAAAACATCTTAAATAAGATACTTCTTTTTGCAGTGTTCTACTACAGAAATTCCGAAGATAACTATTTTTAACAGTACTTTTAACTACTGCACTACTGTTGAGTTATTCACAATCATAACGTGTAGTAGTAATTTTAACTACATAAAACCTACTATTCAATTTTAGTTCCACTAACTATGGAAGTTTAGTTAAAATGCTGCTGAATATGGTAGTTTTAACTATATTTTTTTAACTGCACATACACTGCAAAAAGAAGTATCTTATTTAAGATGTTTTGGTAGTCATTTCTAAGATGTTATTGTAGTCACTTTTTAGTCATTTAAAATATCTTAATTTAAGATACTAAAAGCATCTTCGTACATATTTTCAGCATATTTTTCGGGAAAAAAGTTTTGAGGTTAACTATGGGCTTATATGTAAGACATTTTATGCATCTTAGTTTTTAGTAACTTAAATTTTTTTCGCATCTTACAATTCACGAGTATCTTATCGCTAAACATCTTGTTGAGACAGAAACATCTTAATTTAAGATACTTTAAAAAACTTACAGAAGTATCTTACTTTTTTAAGATAGAAGAAATATCTAAGACGTATAAAACATCTTAAAAATCAGTAAGATACTTTAGAAAACATCTTATTTTAAGATGTAAGATACCATTTTTCCATCTTACATCTTAATTTAAGATATCAAATAAGACACTTATTTTTGTAGTGAAGTATCCATTTCTTGCTATTTGCAAAATAAATTAAAATTTACTGTTCCAAAGAGTAAAAACAACCGCTGGAATTTGTTATTTTTGTGTTTAATGTAGTTAAAAGAACCAATTCTTACTAGCTTTTAATAATTTATGTCTATGGTGGTAAGAAACATTTATTTTTATGTTATTTTTACTATATGAAAATAGTAAGTTTAATTTTTTTATAACTAGTAAAAAGTGGATAATTTTACTACAGAAATTCTGAAAATAACTATTTTCAACAGTACTTTTAACTACTGCACTATCGTTGAGTCATTTAAATTCATATGCTGGCTACATTTCAACTAAGTCCTTGAGCTTAAAAAATTAGTTACTGCAACTAAACGGAGTAGTTATTATGACTGAATCTAAGAAGAATGTCCTCAAGTACAATGCCAGTCATCGTAGCGTGCGAGCGTGGTTAGGTGGTTAGGTTATCGGTTTGCGAATCTTAGGGTCGTGCGTTCAATCCCCGGCGTTTGGGGATTTTTCTCTGTTAGGTGTATAAGAATTTAATATGTAAATTATATATGAACAAAAATAGGTAAGAGAAAATATAAAAAAATGGACCTCAATAATAATAAAAAACAAATAAATAATTTCATTTTACTACTTTAAATAGTTAATTTAACTATTTTTTACAGTTGTTACAACTACAATTTGTTACGGGCGCCTATAGGAACTATGAGAATTTAGTTACTGCAACTAAATGAAGTAGTTAGTATGACTAACAACAAATAGTTAAGATAACTGTTTTAGTAGTTAAATTTACTGTAAAAATGGTATTTATTACTACATTTTACAGTTAGACTAACTATTCTGTCATACTTCATTTTACTAAATAATGTTACGGGCGCCTATAGGAACTACAGGAAATAGTAAAAAAGTAGTCAAATTTACCATATTTTTTTTTGTGTGCGCTTATTATGAAAAAAATCAAGGTAGCTCATTTCAAAGAGTACTAAAAGAAAAAAAATGTTTAAAAAAAATTTAAGATGCAAAAGCAAAATAATTTCCGATTTGGCCTGGAATGCCCCCTATATAATAAAATAATTGAAATTTTGTAAAATTTAATTGAAAATAATTTTTTTTAAAGTATTTTGTAACAATTTTTGAAAATCAACTTTTGAAGAATTTTCATTGCAAATTTTGAAGATACATAATTGAATTATCAAAAATTTTAATAGAAAATCTTTAAATGTAAATTTAAAAATGAAAATTAATGTAAATTATAGCTTCTAATTTTTTTAATTACATATTTCCGAAAATTCAGATATTTACAAAAAATAATAACATTTTAGAATTATTTTGAATATTTTGGAAAAAAAATCAAGTTCAAAATTTTTAATTGAAATTCCTCAAGAAATTAATTTGATTTTTTTAAATTATACAAAAATTCTTTTAAGAAATTCAACTATTTTCAAAAAATTACATTAAAATATTTTTAAAAACTAATTCTTTATGATAAAACAATTGTTTTATCATAATTTTTTAAGATTCAATTATTTTCGAACAAAGTAAATAAAAATTGATAAAAATTTACTGTTTTAGATTTTTTAAATTTTTGGAGAAATCATGGAGAAATCTATTATGCCACAAAACATTACCCTATTTCAAAAAATATTTTTTGCTAACAATAAGCATTCAAGTGCTAAATTCTCAGTTTCCTGGCATGTCCCAATGTGAAAATGAAAGTTCATAAAATATGTAAATATTATTTTTAAGCGTTTAAATAGAAATTTACACGTGGATAATAATTTCAAATAGTTTTACTTTACAAAAAATAAATAATTGTTACATTACTGTGCGGTTCCATGGGAGATTTTAGTTTTTTCGGAGTAAGTAAACCAATTGCATCATAAAAAACATTAAAATTATTAAGAATTTCCATTCCGATTAATTCACAATTTTTACAATGCAGTGGTTAGTAAAGGTTAACTAATTATATGATATCACTAGCATTTTACTTAATTTGCTGTTCAATTAACTAAAATTTTGTACTTTGTCATCGAAATGGGCATTTGGTCAGACAAATTCTCAGTTTCCTGGCACGCATTTTTAAAAAAAATATTTTATGTTTTTATACTTTTGTTGTTCTAGGTGTCGTAGAACCTTATTCCCTGTTGACCAGTATTCTGAATTTTGTTATTAAGCCTTGTTTTTCAGTTTTTCAGACGAAAAATGACCAAATTCTCAGTTTCCTGGCACTTTCTGACAGAACTTTCTGACACATGTGCATAAGGTGTAAAATTTACCATTTTTATTTTTTTGACTGGCCACTTTTAGGTAACTTTGATAATACTTTTAACTTGAATTAACCTACTTTTTAAAACCTGCACGTAAAAAAAATAATGTGCCAAAATTTTCTTCATTTTCTTCCTTCGTTTGTAGAACTACCCTTATAATTAAAAAATTATTATCTTTCAAAAATTATTGAAAAATATTTTTAAAAAATTAATTATAAGAATTTCTTTATTATAATTTTTTGAAAATATTATACCTTAATAAAGTAAGAAAAAAAACATGGACAAGTACAATTATTATAAGAAATTGACTTTTTGTTTTTAAATAATTGAATTCTTATAGAACTTTCGGAAAACTATTTAAAATAATTTATGCAGAGATGAAGTTTGTTGTAAATTGTAGAAAATAATTAAATTCAGGAAGGGTTATAATTGTTATTTTTAGAAATTATTAAAATTCATAAATTTTACTCATTTTCTGTAAACTTTTATTTTTTCCTATAAACAAAATTTTGTCAGGGAAAATAATTTTAATGTCAGTAAATTGTCAGGAAAATTGATAATCTGAAACTTGTGACCACCTTAAGGTGGTCACAATAATATTAAATAATAATAATAATATAATTAATAATATAATAATAATAATAAATATTATTAATATAATAATAATATAATTGATTTTCAATAGGCCAAAAGATACCTAATTTATTGTCAATTGACAATAAATTAGGTATCTTTTGGCCTATTGAAAATCTATAATTTAAATAACTTTATCGACATAAGAAGAAATTGTAAGAAAACTTCGTGAGACACAAATGTCAGAAAGTGTGTGCAGAATAAAAACAAATTGCTTTTTTTCCTTCAAATGTGCATAAAAAACTTGGTCTATACTATCAACAAAAATAACAAAAAGCATAAGATGCTGCTACTTTATACAAAAATTTTAAACGAAATGTACATCTTGGAGCCCTCTCCCCTATATATTTATTATTTTTATAATATTAATTATAGTATAAATTTTAACAAAAATTTCTTAATAAGTTTAGTTCATTTTCACACTTAAAGCAGAACCAATTTACCCGTTTTGGAATTTTTAAAAAATTTGTACAAGATTGGTTAAAATGTTAAACAAACAAATAAATATCCAACAGATTATTATGCCAGTTTTTCCTTTGACGCAGAATCGCCATGTATTTCTCGTCACTGGCCAAATAATCAAACCACCTTATTCTGCCAGTTAACTGCCCGTATAGACATGGTCTAATAAATATTAAGTGTAGTTGGTTAGTTTAATTGTTAATTTAAAGATAGAATTAAAAATAGAATCTCTAATTGACATTATAGTAAAAGTTGTAATTATTTGCCAGGCTCGACGATATGATACACGAACAACGATTTTTTCGCCTGAGGGTCGATTATATCAAGTAGAATATGCAATGGAAGCGATAAGTCATGCAGGAACTTGTCTTGGGATATTGGCGACTGATGGAATTTTATTGGCTGCCGAAAAGCGAAATACAAATAAACTTCTCGATGAGGTCTTCTTTTCGGAGAAAATTTATAAACTGAATGACGACGTTGTTTGCTCAGTGGCGGGTATCACGTCAGACGCAAATGTCCTGACAAATGAGTTGCGATTAATTGGACAACGATATCTCCTGCAGTATGGAGAACCAATTCCATGTGAACAACTTGTCTCTTGGCTTTGCGACGTTAAACAGGCGTACACACAATACGGTGGAAAGAGACCTTTTGGTGTTTCAATTCTCTACATGGGATGGGACCGTCATTATGGTTATCAGCTTTACCAGTCAGATCCGAGTGGTAATTACGGTGGATGGAAGGCGACGTGCATTGGTAATAATTCAGCGGCTGCAATTTCATCGCTTAAACAGGAATATAAAGAGGGCGAGACAACTTTAAAGGATGCAATGGCTCTGGCTATTAAGGTTCTTTCCAAAACTTTGGACATGAATAAACTTTCAGCCGAGAAAGGTACCGAAAATTTAGAAAATTCATGTTTTTATTCATTTGCAAATCTGAAGTATATACAAATTAATTTTTTATATTCATTAATATAATAAACTTATTCCAGTCGAATTGGCAACTTTAACCAGAGAGAATGGAAAAACAAAGACGAAAATTTTACCAGCTGCTGAAGTTAATGCACTAATTCAGGAGCACGACAGATTAGAGGCACTTGCCGAACAGGCCAAAAAGGAAAAGCAAAAATCTTAGTTTTATTTAAATGTGCTTCTTTCAATTGTCTACAAATTTGGTTAATAGATATCTATTCAATAAAATGGATTCTTTTTTATTCAAACAAGAGACTTCAATTTCTAAACATTAGAGTTTATGTGAATGATTTGCGGTGTGCTGCAACTCGCAACAAAATCATGTAAAACAAGAAAATCTACAAACCGGTTAATTTGTTTTTGTAAAATTAGTAATTTAAGAAAAGCTCCCAGGGATACCGGAAGAATTACGTGAAGTACTGTACCAAATTTCAGAACCATTGGTCCAGTAGATTTTGAGTTATGGCGTACAATTGTTGTTTTTCAAAAACAAGTTTCAGAAAAACGCTTCAACCTTTAAGGTTGAATATTTTAATACCTACCTACTGAGTTCGTTGAACTGACGATTTCGTCCAAAAACTAAAACACAAAAAATAAAAAATTTTGAATATTAACGCATGCTATAGTGCAAGAACAGTTTACCAAACTGCATTCTTTCCTTAAGTCCAACGCACAATAGGTTCGCGAAAGTCGTTCGCGAACGAGACGCGTGAGATAGACAAGGACACAAATATATCTCTGTCCTTTTCTAACTCATGCTTTGTGTTCACGAACGACTTTCGCGAACTTATTCTGCTTAGGCCTTTAGTACAGAACAGGGCTCGAACTAGGTCCGTAAATCCCGTAAAAGTCCGTAACTTTGCTTGAAGTCCGTAAAAGTCCGTTTTTTTTTAAAAAAGGTCCGTAAAGTACGTAAATTATACGATATAATTTGGATAATTTTAGAGAAATTACAAATGATTGAAGGAATTCAATTATTTTCAAAAGTAATAAAATTCTTCGCAAAAATTAAATTATGTTCAAAAATTTTTAAAAATTCTCGTCAAAATTTCAATTATCTTTAGAAATAATTAAATTCTTCGAAATATCAATTATTTTCAAAAATTTTAATAAAATTCTTGGAAAAATTTCAATTATTTTCAAAATTTTTCCTCAATTCAATGATTTTTAAAAAGTATCTATACTATTCTAATAAAATTTTCCAAAAGAATTCAATTATTAAAAAAAAATCTACTAAAATTCTACACAAACCTTTAATTATTTTCAAAAAATAATAAAAATTCTACAGGAATTTCATTATTTACAAATTTTTTTATAAATTTCTTCGCAATATTTAATTATTTTCATAAATAATAAAATTTTTACAGGTATTTAATTTTTTTAGAAAATAATAAAATTCTTATTAGGAATTCAATTATTTTGATAAATAATAAAGCTAATTGCAGAATTTCAATTATTTTTAATACAATTTTAATCGAATTCTTCAAAAAATGTTATTATTGAGGCATTTCACGTCAGAAATATCACGATTTGCAAAGGGTATGCCGATTTTCGCAAAACTTCGTGGGATTATAGTTCTATATAAGAGACTTCTTGCCCCCAAATTAAAAAAAAAAAAATTCAAAATTATTGAAGATACGCCATTTCGAATTTTAATATTAATTTTATAAAATTTTGAATATCTCGGAATATTTTTTATGGATTTTTATGAAATTTACACATCTTTCAGGCAAAAGTATGTACTTTAAAATGCAAATAAATTTAATAAAAAAAATTAATTTTTAAATATAAAAATTAAAAAAAAATTTTTTAAACAATTTTTTGTTTATTTACTCCTTTCTGAGAAAAATGTTATTAACATATTTGGATTCCTTGTGAATTCACCTTTAATTTCATAAAAAAAATTGATGGAGACTCAACTGGTTCCGGAGATATTGAATTTTTTGTAAAAAATAGTCATAGTTACAGCAGCAATGCACGACTGCGGTAACGTACTACGCGACTTGTGCAGTATGGTGCTATGGCGCGGCGACGTTTTTTTTTACAAAAAATTCAATATCTCCGGAACCAGTTGAGTCTCCATCAATTTTTTTTATGAAATTAAATGTGAATTCATAAGGAATCCTAATATGTTAATAACATTTTTCTCAGAGAGGAGTAAATAAACAAAAAATTTGTTTTAAATTTTTTTATTTAAAAATTAATTTTTTTTTATTAACTTTATTTGCATTTTAAAGTACATACTTTTACCTGAAAAATGTGTAAATTTCATAAAAATCCATAAACAATATTCCGAGATATTCAAAATTTTATAAAATTAATATTAAAATTCAAAAAGGCGTATCTTTAATAATTTTGAATTTTTTTTTAAATTTGGGGGAAAGAAGTCTCTTATATAGAACTATAATCCCATGAAGTTTTACGAAAATCGGCATACCCTTTGCAAATCGTGATATTTCTGACGTGAAAAGCCTCTATTCTTAAAAATTTTATTAAAATTTATCAAAGAAATTTAATTATTTTAATAACCTTTGCTACAATTTATTTATTAGAATTTAAATATTATTTTTAATAAATTTTTGATTAAATTTCTTTAAAGAATAAAATTATTACATTCAAAATTTTTAATGCAATTCTTTGCGTAAATTATCAATTATCTTTATAAATAATAAAATTCTTCTCTAAAATTGAATTATTTTCAAAAAATTTAATAAATTCATTTATTTATTCATTTAAATTTTCATTCATTTATTCATTTATTTAAATTTAATAATTTCTTGTCAAAATTTCAATTATTTTCAAAAATTTTCTCTAATTTAATTAATTTTAATATCTACTATTTTAATAAAATTTTGCAAAAGAATTCAAATTATTTGATAATTGATTGATACAATTCTTAAAAAGAATTCAATTTTAAGAAACATGTAATTATTTAATAAATTTTCAATAAATTGTTTTGTTTTGTATTTAAATAATGAAATTCTCGTTCAATTTTTTCATAAAAATTGATTTAAAAATGGATTTCAGTTAAAATTTTAGATTATAATTGAATATTAAAAGTATTAGAGTGTAAAGTTTTAGAAATATAATAATTAAATTTTGAAAAGGTTTCAGATTCAAATCTTTGAAAATTTGAATTTTTTATATTTTTAACTAACAATTCTGTGAAATTAATTTTTTGAGAAATTTTAATTGCGGATTTTTTTTTATATTATTTGAAGTTTTTATTTTCTAATACATATTTAATTGAAGAATTTACAAATAATTGAAATTTCGTAAAATTGAATATTGTAAAGAAATAGATTTGAAAATTGTCAAAGAATTTTTTCGAAAATTATTAAAAATAATCGATTTTAAGAAGAATTTTAGTTAAAAATTCTTGAAAATAATAATTGAATTGATAATGATTTTATCATTCTATCTTTAATTATTATAAAACATGAAGTAATCGATCGCTCCGAGTCGAAGAATCGGAGTTATCGATATCTTCATGTTTTTTAGTTATGAAAAAATCTAATTTATAGTTTTAAGTAAAATGTTCTCTTATATATATTTTTGTCAGTAATTGGTCCGTAAATGGTCCGTAATTTTTCATTTTTGGTCCGTAAAGTCCGTAATTGAAGGGCTACATAAAATAAGGGGACGAACGCGAGGCTTGGAAGGGATACTACCAGTCGGGTAGCAGTGACAAGCCTTGAGCCGCTCGCTCACAGGTCTCCTCAGAAGTGGGCAGGTTATTCTAAAATGTAACGCTGCAAACTTGGTGGGGAGTTGTTCCAAATGACTTCCAGATTTCAAATTTTCAAACCGATAAATCGTACCTGATCCTCTTTTCGAATTATCTCTTTTACAGATAGTCGGAAACTTAAAAATGTATTATCTTAATGTGGAAGCTTTGATTCAGAAGACTGCTGATTTTTCGTTATTAAAAAATTTTTAGACAAAGATTTTATAGATAATTATGTTCATGATTTTGAGAAAAGTGGGGGTAGGGGAGAGTGGGTCAAGACGGGGTACTTAAGGTTTAAAGCGCAAAAAACGAAAATTATCGAATACAAATTATATTATTTTATTTAATATCCATCTTTGGGAATCAGTCTTTAGTAATAAAGGCGCACAAAGGCCATTTGTTTCTTAAAAAATCATAAAATTAATAATATGGAAAAATTGCAAATCTCCCTATCTTGACCCACCGGCGCGGTACTAAAAAAGCAGCCTATTTCTGTCGACAAATTTTACAAGTAAAGGTTGCATCTTCATCTTCGTCATTGGCACCAGCACAACGGCACGAAGCCCATTGGCCGCAGACAGAAGAAGCAGCCCAGCCTTCATTTGAGTCTAAATAATAACCATTACAATTTATAGAGATCCCCAAGGAGCACGTAAGTTTATCTTGACATCACTGTAATATTACATTGGAGATTCGTTATATTACACTGTAATATTACAGTGATCTTACTGGGATATCAAAATGTCCGCCTGGAGGTAATATTACGTTGTTACATCAAGAGAATATTACCTGGTAATATTAAGGTAATATTACACTGTAATATTAACGTAATGTTAAGGTAATATTCAGATAAAATTAGAATAATTTTATAATTTAGAAAAAAACATTTCACAAAGTTGGACTCGAACCCAGAACCATGTGCATAGTAATCATGAGTCTTACCACTGAGCCAAACTTACTTGTAGTGTATTAAGATTCTCGACGGTATATAATCTTTGTAAGTTTTTTAAAGTTCTTCATATTTTATCAAAAATCTTAATACACTACAAGTAAGTTTGGCTCAGTGGTAAGACTCTTGATTACTGTGCGCAAGGTTCAGGGTTCAAGTCCAGCTTTGTGAAATGTTTTTTTCTAAATTATAAAATTATTCTAATTTTATCTGAATATTACCTTAACATTACGTTAATATTATCTTAATATTACCAGGTAATATTCTCTTGATATAACAACGTAATATTACCTCCAGGCGGACATTTTGATATCCCAGTAAGATCACTGTAATATTACAGTGTAATATAACGAATCTCCAATGTAATATTACAGTGATGTCAAGATAAGCTTACGTGCTCCTTGGGGACAAGGTGTATTTTCCACTTTACCATCGCTAATTATTGATTTAACCTGACAAGCTTTTTTCTTATTTATTCAGTCTTGATTTAAGTAGTTTTCTTAACTTCCCTTATTTCTCTTTTCTTTTGCTTCATTTGTGTACCCCGCCTTGCCCCACTCTTCCCTACC